AAGAGAGCAAAAAATATAAAAGAAACAAAAAAAGAAAATAAACAATAACAGAAAGCAAAGAGAGGATTTGCATCCTGAACAGAGAAATTTCGTTTTTATCCTTGTTGCATATCTGGACGATGTTGGCTAGTGGGTCCATCAAATGCATGTATTTATGTACATATATAGCTTCATTTCACTCATCGGTGCAGTTGGACTGTATTGATTCAGGTAGACGGTAGGTGCTCATTAATGTCGCTCCGTTAACGTATAGTTATAGGCAGTTTACGGTAAGGTGTAACCAATCAACAGGAAGCTCTCATCCGAAGGGTTCCAGAAGGCGGGCGGTTTTTGTTGAAACTCCTTTGTATAGCAAGTCTTTTGCTACAAAACGAAACCCACCTCTGAAAAACAGGCGCTCCAGTTAGAGACCTTAGCGCACACATAAATCGATTATGTCGCAGTATCTTCATTAAAGTCTACTCTCTTTTAGCCGTGACCCAAAATATCTCACAAAGTCAACTGAGTTGCTCACGTTTCCAGTGTGCGCAACATGGATGTAAGAGTAGGAATTGAGTACAGCCCTGCAAATGTAACTGTAACCCAGAAGCAAGATTACTACCGATTTTCTACTCGACTAGCCTACCCACTCGCGGAGAGTACTCATCCTCAACTCGGTGTAAGGAAACTGTGGAACTCATTGATTCAAGCTCGCGGCAAACGGGACTACAGGGTTTCAATAAGTGCTAAAAGGAGTGTGGCTCATTTCATAGTGAAAAAACCAATATTATTCAGAACTAACAAAGTTTGAGATTGATTTGCGGGTTATCTCTCATAGAGTTGAAGAGATAACCGAGACGTATGTATATGTAGACAGATAAAGTGAGCGGCCAAAATGAGCGAACACGAAGAGCTTAAGAAATCGGTTGACAGAGGTAATGCTCGAAAATTCAATGCGAAAATGCGGTACTAACAGAAGATCTCACGCTTGATACACACGTTATGTTGAGTCTATGGAGAGAACGCTCCTCCTGCCTACTAACTGACAATGATAGTCATATATGTACACTAGGAGTTATCGAAACCAATCTCCCAATCGATGACGTTCTATTACTTGACTATAAAAGAGTTCGAATAAGCAATTGCTTCAGGCGTTGCCATTCAATCAGCTTCTTTGCAATATTTCCTCGGCTGAGTGCATTACTGACAAATGGAATCTAAGTGTGCTCGGTCTTATACAAAAACACCACGTGATGAGCTTACTCATTATTGGCTAAAGCATCCTATGGAGCATATTGTCTGTGAGACTAAAGTTCACATTAATGAATCGATTGGATTTTATCAGTGTGGTCTCAGACTCTTCAAATCTACAAATGGTTTTTAATTCGGTCTACCCGCGAAACTTATGGGGCTGGGTAAACTAAAAAGTTGCTTGCGAGACTTCAGACACGGTGACTTTTTATTGCATGTTTTTTTGTTTAACTTAGCCTTGGAGAAAATCATAAGAACAGCTAAGATAAGCCGGGAAGGTGCATCTTCCATGAGAGCGTATAACAAAATGTTAGTTCTGCTCTCATCAGACTGGATAACGAGGAAACGAGACAAATGGCTCTGAACGAGGGCAAGGCAAAATATCTCCTTTCATCGAACAAACAAACACCGCATTCATGTTAGCTTTAGACGTGATGAGCTTTGATAAGCTTTGACATGACTTGCGTAATAACAAGTACTGTGAACCGAGTCTGTATTTGAAAATTAAAGGCGTACAAAAAAAGTCTACCAGCCCCTTATCATTCTCGTCCTGCTATATGGATCAGAAGAATGAATGATGAACACGTCTAATGAGTTGGCACTAGAAGTAGATTTGACACAATGCGAATACGGGGGCCGATAGCACGATGAGCTGTATGAGATAAAAAAATGGCGATAATTCGGCGGATTAAGGGACACTGGCTATGCTGATATGGTCGGATCGTTGTTGTAATAGCCGCAAAAATATTCTCAAAAGTAGTTTGTAGCTGGAGTGACTCTTCTTGTCCGGACATGTCGTGGGAGTTTTCAATATTAGTCGCCTCTTATGATTGGTATGCCATACCTCGGGGAAATTCTTAAACTCCTACTCCTCATACTCCACTAGGTCAGGCCACTAGGTCAGGTCTACGTACCATGGGCTGTGAAAGCTTTCGCCGCAGTATTCGCTGGTGAGGGCAGAGGATGGGCAAGATCTCAACTTCGTTGAAAAATGGATTTACTATTATAACCGAAAAGTCTAGAGTCTATTGCTTTAATGTGATGGTAAATAATCAGATTTCTTTCCCCACCATCAACGCCATCAAGTCGATAGTTAAATTGCAATCAACTGAAAAGAGTACAATGCACAGAGACCACAGTTAATATTAACAGAATATCAGAGTGCAGATTACAGTTCAGCGGATTTAATGAGATTATACAGTATATACTCGTACATACTCATGCATATATAAAGCGTCGATGAAGTTAAAAACTGTGATGACTAACAAGAACTGTTCTCAAACATTGCTACATACATACATATGTACAAGTACTCACATACAAAAACACATGTACGAGTATAAGAACGCCTATAAATTTAACACGATTACATGTTGTCTACACCGTTAATTCACTGCTTTAAATAAACTACTATCCTCGGGCAGCCGCTAACACGCATCGACACATTCTGTCACAAACTGCATGGTGACACTTGTCGCACAAGCATAAGCCTGCAAGGCATATAACGTCCCTACTCTACTATGTATGTATGCATGTGTGCGTATGTGTGATTGCATGTGGCGACACTAGTTCGGTGCTTATTGAGATAACGTGCCTTTGCTTGGCAGGAAATGATTTCATTTAGAAGTTACGCACTCCCATAGTGGAAGAATACTATAAACTTATTGTTGTTGTAGCAGTTGGAAGAAAAATCTTGCTTAGCCAGTGAGAATATTGGAACCACTGAACAGAGGTCTGCGTATTCGAGACTTAGTTGGGTAAAAATCAGTATCATTGTGATTTGAAAATGCGACTGTGAAAGCTCTCTTCTGTTGTTGTTGCTTTTGTTGTTGTCGTAGCGGCAGGTAAAGTAGGCTTCAGTGGGTATTCAAAGAGTTGGCGAGTATCGTGCGGGAACTCAATACATGCAGGACCTATGTTAAGTATATTGAGGTAGAGCTTGGATGGTTAGGTATTGAGTCTACTATATTATTCAGACTTTAATTGTGTCAGTATTATTCGGGTCTCGCCAGTCAGCTCGAGCTCTTTGCCTGCTATGTGAGTTTATGAAGGTGTTGACGGACTCACTGTTGGACCTGTCGGTGAGTTTTTTTGCCCATAGGTTCTGTTCTGTGGTGCTGAATGGGCCTTCTTAGGTCGGGTATTCACTTTCTGATGTGCCTAGATGGTGGTACTTCTTTAAGTGGACGTCCGCTAAGATACTCCCTAGGCTAATATCTTAGCAGATACAGCCTATAAATCACAACATTAAAATCTATAACCGGTAGCATAGCTGCTTTACTGTCTAAGTAACGCCTGGGTGACATCAGCAGGTTTACCATCACAGTATTCAAAGCGGTTTACTTATAGGTTTGTAACTTGGACCTTTTTATTGTCGGAATTTTGGCATCGCCGATTTTCCACATTCAGTACAAACCGGTACTGCATTGTCCAGCTGGTGAAGAGGGTAGGTTGTGATTGCTAAGGGTTCAGTTGCAATTGTCGTGCAGTGAAGAAGCAGGAGTGATCGGCGGGGTAGCAGCTATCTTCTCAACAGCTGTGCTTCAAGCGCTTAATCGCAGGAATATATCATAAGTTTTCACTTTCTTTAGGTAAAGGAACATAGAGCAGGTGGGCGTACCCTCTACAGCAATTGCAAGCGAGAAGAGGAACCGCCCGGGCTGGAGGAATAGAACTTGCGCGAGAATCAATGGTATCTTCAGTGGTACCACAATGTGGTATCATCCTTGTCTCTTCATGTTTGGCAAAGTCAATCTCACTTGATATTATTGTATGTACAATGAATTGACAAGTGTCTTGCCTGCTAAATCTTTCCTATTAGGCGATATTGGATGACATCATCACTACTAACTCGGTTTGCACTTATTTCCAGCATTGCATACCAACACGTACAAACCCATGAATATATGAAGCATACTTTTGCGGGCTGTCATCGTCAAGTGTTTTTATAGCATATCATTATCACATTTTTTTCTAATATTCTCAACACTTATAGAAATAAGCAATTTATATATTGCATTTTGCCATCAGTACAACCCTTAACCATCCATTTATGTATGTACAATAGGTGTAATAACAAGTACAGGCATGTAATTGATGAAGTGGTTATTGTGTTAGAGGATGCTTAACAGCGCGCCGATCAACGTTAGAATTAGTAAAGTAAAAAATAATAATAATATGAGGCAACTTATACGATATACACGTATGTATATATAGCTTTGTAAATAAAAATATCTTTCATTTAATAGGTATATATGTATATGATATATATGTATATAATTAATAAATTATCTTAGATACCTGCATTTGAAATGGAATGTGCTAATTTTAAATAAACAGCTTCATTACTGTAAAGGAAAATTTTTCACGTATTAACTAAACCCCCCATTATTTTGGATTAGATCACCTTCTGATGAAAATAGCATGAGGTTTTCGAATAGATTGGTCTATGCAGATGACAGAATTCACATTACCGACTGATAGAAATTCAAACATTCATAAAAAATTACAAATATATGTATATACACTAATTCTGCTTTAATTTAACCAACAAATCAATAATTATTTTAAATCCACCAAAATTTTTAAACAAGCGCTTTACTTGTTTCATTGATTAAACTTAAATGGATGAATGTTATGCTAATCGAAATTCGGAAAAATGCCAAAAAAATTTATGTATATTTATAAAAAAAAAAAGCTATTGTCCTCTTTACATGGTGCGACCAACTTAATCGCCGAACAATAGGCTATTGATATAATAGTACAAAAAATTGCTTTGCACTATTTCTTTTATCTTTATTGTTATATTCTTCATACAAATAAGCGAACATGCTGCCAAAAATACACAGATACTTATATACTTAATCAATAATTTTTAACTTTAGCTAGTACACAACAATATTACAATGAACTTACAAAAAAATTTAATAAGAAATTGAATAAACTTTATCAAATATTCGACTTAAATTCGTTATACTAAAATTTAACAATCTACTTAATATTATAAAAATCATTTGCTGAAATTAATAAATTTTCTTAAAAATTAAAACACTTGGTTGTTGCTTATTTAACCGCCGGTGATGCCGTGCATATAGATATCCTGAACTGTAGGTATTACATGTTGAAATTGTCTACGTTTCGGTATCGGTTGTATATGTGGTAAACGTGTGCCATTCAAAGCATTTAAACTAGGTTGAAAGTCATCATCATCATCATCATCTGTCGATGTCAAAGAGTTCGATGAAACAACGTTTTGATTCGCCTTGTGTACATTTAATGCTGTTGGCTGTTGCTCCTCCAAAGGCTCTTTAAAGTGTATCCTTTTACGTTTTACTGGATGTAATGGTTTTCGCCACATTGTTACATCTTTAATGTGAGCATCGGTTTGTTGTTTATCATTTGTTTCGATTACAACTTTTGTGGTTGCTGCACTGATAGCAGCCGCACTGGTTGACGGCCTTAAATCAAGCGATGAATTGTGTGAATTGCCTGTGCTCGTTGATAGTGCTACAAAGGCAGCTGGTGATGGTGCCCTGTCTGATCCACTAATTATGGAGCTATTTGTACTGTCTTCACTAACGATCAATGATTCTGTGCTTAAATTGCCTGTTGTACTTCCATTGTTGCCTTGATTCTCTTTATCTACATTCTGACTCAACTCCTGTGATGGGCCACCTAAGTTGAAGGGTGCATTTTGTTTAACAAAATCGCGATAATGTTTTGTGCGTGGAGTGCGATATACAATGCGATCGAAGTCATCCACAGAGGACGAGGAGGACACAGTTACCGAATGACGACGTTTCCTTTCTATCGCTTTACTGAGTTTGAATTTGTATAGTTGTGCTAAAGATTTGGCACAATCAGCGCAGACTCGACATTCAGGCCTAAAATCTTTTTTACGTCTGCGCGCGAACTCTACATGCTTTTTATCCGTAATGAAAACGCCTTCCCCACTAAGTATATGTCCATCGGAAGCGATTCCACATCGCACACCACGAATTCTGACCATTTCATTCACAGAAATTTGGAGACCAGTCTCTTTTCATTTATATAAAACAATGTTTATAAATTCATTTTAAAAATCTAATTGCATATATTTTTTATGTACTATATTTGATGGTAAGGCGAATTCGTGTAGTTTATGAATTCGCCTAATTAGCAGCTGCACTTCAGTGCTGCCGCTCAAAATTTTTGGTGGTAGCCAGATCTGATTTTGAAATTAGCTCCGAGTTTTAACTTTGAAATAACTCAATTTCAATTAGTTTTTAAGTAAACTGTTTTTGTATGATAAAAACATTATTTCTTAACTAATTTAATGAGATTTATTAGTATTCTCTCCTGCAAACCCTATGTTTACTACGTTTTATTCTTCACCGATTTTGTCACCACCAAGTATATACTCAGTTGAACATTTTAGTAGTGCGCGCCACACTTTTATATAGCCAAACGATTTCTCGCATCCATCTCTAGAACGTTCCTTTTTGTATTGTCTCGATAACGCACATTCGACACATGCGCTCTAAAACTTACTTTACTTAGCGATTTCTAATATTTATTAATGATTAGACACACAAAATAATAGTTGATTATCAAAGTTTATAAGTGTGAGTAGCGTTGTAGTAAATGGCGCAACCTCTATTTTTAATATAGTGTAGAAGGGTGAGGGAAAAACTTAGCTTCCGCCCTAATTGCAGAACTTCGAAATTAAAATTTAAATTTTGAATTGAATTTTCAAAATTTTTGCCCATAAATATCTTGACTTTCAGGTACTGCGCACTCACATAAATCTTCTATTCTATTTTCAGCAACTCATTGGTTTCTTCAGCCGGTGAAATACAATTAAAAAAAATGGATAAATTAGGACATACATACAAACCAAATACATTACTAAACAACTTTAATGGAACTCACAACATAAACGAATAGTAAACAATTTAAAATAAATAAGAAAAATCAAAAAGTCGTAATAGTCTTCCAAAAAACAACCAAAAAATCTCTTAAGCTAACAAGTCCGACAAGACTAGCTATGGAAAAAGTAATCGAAATTCAAACTAGAAATCACAGCAACCGACGAATTTTTCATGCTAAAATCCAGCGAGTGTCGACAGTCTTAGCAACGAGTCAGAGGGAAACACCGAAGCAGCACATGGAATGCAATGCACAGTTAGCCTACAGCAGCAATACAACTAATAAACACAACGAAAATCCTGTGCCGCAACAACAAAAACAACAGCAATTAAAGCATCGACTTAAATCAACTATACAAAAACAACAACAGTATTATGCACACAATGCAGCGACGGCAGCAATACAGCAACAACAAAACAACCAACAACAACAACTGCAACAAACACAACAGCTAACGCCCACTGTCGACTATTTCCGTTTCTCCGCTTTGTATGCATTGGTAGCAACTTCCGCTACCACAGCCACATACAATATGCGTGAAGCGTACGAGTGCGTAGCTGCCTACGATCCAAACAGAGATGGAGTAGCGACGGGCGATAATATTAATGATGACTACACGACACACAACCATTATAACCGACAACGTTGCACTATGCAACATGATACACGTATTTTGGATTTGAAGCGTAACCACAAAAGCCTTACACAACCACAACAACAAAACGAACAACAAGAGCAGCAGCTTAGTAAATTCTTGCGAACCACATACCTCCGGCATGGTAGTAGTGGCATACGACATAACACCAACGCAAGAGGTGTCGGTAGTTGCGGTCTCTACAGTGCATCGTCGTTCGGTACTGTCACAAGCGGAAACGGCACAACAAACGTTGTTGGTGGCCTCGGTCTCGATACTCGTAGTATTTTCTATTTGACACTCGTATTTTTCATCTATTGTACTGTGATGATGCGCGCTTCTGTAGCGGCGACAGCTATTGCCAATGCAACAATGCATAATAACAATAATGTTAATAATAATAATAATACTAATAACAACAATAATAATAATAATAATAATAGTAATCTAGTGTATGATACGCCAACGCTGGTGATGGACGTAACGACATTGTTGCCAACTGCTGACGAAGCTTATGTAGGCGAAGCGTCGAAATTAAGTAAAGTAATGATGATTGACAAGAGTACGGTGGGTTTGGTAGCGAATGCATCAGTGGTTACACCTCCAATGCCTATAAACGCTTTGACAACGGCATCAACACCTGTCAGCAACTTGACAACTGCTTTTGTGCCGAGTTCTCTGTCACCAACTCCTGCTAATGCAATGGCCGATGTAACTATGAATGCGAACGACGACAGTTTTGCGTATATACAACGCGTGGTAAAGCGCGATACCGCTCATGTGCCTGAAGATGATGATGATTCCGCCTATCGTGACGACGAATTTGACGAATACGAGGCTTTAATAAATAATAGATCTGGTGAGTAGGAAATTTTTGATTAACAAAGAGCACCCCAAATGACAGATTTCGATATCAGCTGTCGAAAATACGCTATCTTTTATATTTCTTACAATTCTCCTCTGCTTGATCTGTGAGCATATTATAGACTCTGAGCTTTGGTTTCATCAACTAATGTTTTGTCCTAAGGACATATACTGTTGAGTCGACCTTTCAATAGCTCCTTAGCTCCAAATGGTGGACATTATTAGTTGCTTGGGGGCCCTTACAAAGTCCAAATGTAAGAGATTATGCAAGGTGAGCAGGCAACCACAAGAAAATACAGTAAACTTTATTTGAAACCCGGGTCAAACAAATGTTAAGATATTGAAATAAGATGAGCCACGCTGTTGCCGTTAGTGAGGCTAATTATGCCTACTGTCTCGAGCCTTTTAGCTACTTGAAATCTTGTGTAAAATAGTGGAGTTTAGGGGAAAAATATCCTAAATAATTTCCAATATGAGACCTACCTTAAAATTAATGGCACGACTACCACTGAGATATCATCATCAATACATCAATTAGGTAAGGTTGAATCTGCTGGGTGTACAATACATTCAGAAGAGTACAAAGCCTAGTAACACTATTGGACACTAGGTTTTGTACTCTTCTATGCATGATGTCCCGAGACAGTCCCACCGAAAATAGGCAAGCATAGGTTGAAGATAATTAAAAAATGTTCCAATTCGAGTGAATCATTCAATATCACTTATATGGCCGCCCGCGGTCATGTCCTCAACCTCCCCTCTCAACCAACCAACTAACAGCTAAACCTCATTGCCAAGGTCCGATTAGATTATTGAGGGTCGGATTTGGTCTTTCACACAGTAGGCTAGATGGGATCTTTATGTGATATTAAGTAGACTGACGTAGGTAGTAAGGGGCCTCCATTTCTTAGGTTGAGCAGAACACACTGATGCAAGCAATTTATAAGTTACTCGCCGCCATATTTTATTAGCTTACCCGGTAAGCCATTTAGTCTTTATCATAACCGTTCTTGTTCTATGCGGCATCTTTTCAATCAAGGAACCGGACTTTATGTGTGCAGGCCCCAAAATCATAATCTTGAATTGTGAGCCATGTTGAAAATTCTCAATCGGGCTCATTGTTTTCTTATCTTGGACTAATATCTATTTGAGTAGCTGCTTGAGATGTACCCAAAGCATAACCTCGCGACGGTAGGGGGTAGCCAATCGATTGCTCTAACTCCGACGAATGCTGGCAGCCGGCTGGCTGGTAAGTAGACACTATAACTAGATTTCAGAAGATTCCTTGATTGAACACGCCACTCTGAAGCTTACACTATTTGAGAACCAAGACCACAAAGCCTCCACAAGAATTGATCAAGCCACTTTGCTTTAGGGATTGCTTATGTTACCATCTGCCTTAGTCTTACCAAGTCCCTAACTTTACACTTTCATATCCTTATTATACGACAACATCATTACTAATTTTTCTTTTTCTTGTAAATCTCTTAAGCCAAGGGCAAATATATCGGCGCTCCGTGCTTCAACGATATGACATGTGAAACATCCCTAATTCATGTCATTTGTGATAAGGAGACGAAAATCTGTGGCTGTGAAAGAAATTACCCAGTTCAGCTAGGACTAACTAAAGGTTGCGATAAGCGTAAGTAGAGGAGACTCGAATAACTGTGGGTATGCATTTACTCATCGGCTTTACTCTTTCGCAGCGAAAAAACTGGGCGAGCAGTGTTTCTACGATGAAACTTGCATGTATAGCGATGAGAATTCCCTTTGTGTTCAGGTGCGACACAATGCTATGTGCCAATGTGCGCATGGTTTCCACTCCGTAAGCCATACGAAGCCAACACGACGTGTTTTTTGTACGAAAGGTGAGTGTTAGACTTCTACAAGCCTCTCTCCATAGATCTTTAGAAACTACCATTATTGTTTTTGTAAACTTTTATCCAATATAATCAAATTTTCCTTTCCACTTCAAGACTTAAAGGAGTTAAATTCTGATCTACCGACGCTGCTTGGTGTTTCAACGGGCATAGCAGTGCTTGCCGGTCTCATCTGCATGGTATTGCATCTCTTTAGCAAAACAAAATATCCACGACCGCGAAACTTTGGCGATGCGAATCTACCGCCACCCATTATGTACTCCAGTGAAACAGGTAAGTCGCAGGTTCTCTATTATTAACTCAAAATATTAAACCAAGAGCCACTTCGACGCATTTGAAATACACCATCCTCTTAGTGAAACTCGCTCCCTCTAAACGCTTTCCTCTTTCCGATAAATGTCCCAATATCTACTAGTTCGTCTCGTTTGAAAAAAAAAAACGGCTTATCACGTACACAACTTCGTTACACACATTCATATGTCCACCATTGAATCTGATATGCCTTCACCGATTCCAGGTATACCGTTGACAGTACAATCGGGTCGTCCATCATCACGTTCCAGTCTACGTTCGAGCGGCTCAATCGGTTCCTATGGCAATCGACGTGCCTCATCTGGTGGTGCAACAGCTGGTGGACATGGCGTTATTGGCAACATAGGCGGTGGCGGCGGCGGCGGCAGTAGCGGTACGAAAGGCATACTCGTCTCTACATCACGTACAGGTGCGGCTAGATCGGCCGCCATATTGCTTATATCGTGTCATTTGACGGAGCTCGCCAAAGAGGCGGCATTACGCACCACAACGTCGCGTCAAACTTCAGGCGCCGGCTGCAGTGCCAATTCGCGTGATAATCTGGATGAGAATGGTTCTGGTGGTGGTACAACTGCCTGTGGTACAACCGGCGGCAGTGGTAGTCGCAGCTGCGACAGTACATTATCAATGACGCGTCACCTGCAGAAGCAGTTGAATCATCAGCGTCATTTGTTAAGTCTTGAGCTGTCGCCGGCGAAAACGAAAAATAACGATAGAATTAGAACATTGTTGGGCATTAATGGAATTGATAATTATAGAACCGATGACGATGATGAGTTAAATAGTTTAGATCATAATCACCTGCAAATTGGTGCATTGCCGACACCGGCCAGTGAAACGCCTAGATTTGCGGTAAACATACGCTATCACTCTCTCTCTCTCTCTCTCTCTCACACACACACACACACTCACTTTCTAGCTCTTTCTCAGAAAACATCAAACAAGAAACATTCACTGTCACTATGTCTGTCTCTATGTCTACAAATCGCTCTCTCTCTCTCTCTCTCTCTCTCCCTCTGTCTTCTGTATTGGTCACTCGATATCTCCATATATTACAATATATATATATACTAACTAAATCTTTCTTTCTTGAAACGAAATAGAGACATACTAGTATACCTACACATACAGGCACACAACCATACACCCGTACACATTGCGGTCGATATTACCACACAATTGGTATCACGTAAGAGATATTGTAATGAATTGGTTCTAAATGATGAGTATTTTACATAACTTTGCACTGTACATGAATTTCGATTTTTCAATTTTTCAATCTGTAAAAAGTAACGCACAAACAAACGCACTCGTAAACACTCGTTAGCGAACGAAGTTTCTTCATTTATTAGTCACTTTACATATGTGAGATCGTTTAGAACTAACAATAGAACTTCACCCAGCTAACCAATATGCTCACTGTTCACCAAAAACTAAATCGATAGTCTTAATAAGAAACGTTTAGAATGACAAGGTCTACAAAGTTCAGCGCCCAACTCGTTTCTTCGTTTCGATGTTTGGGGCCAGTTGGAAATACCAAGTGAAATTAGGTTATTCCTCTCCTGATCCTTCCAACGGAGTCTTGAGCTCCACCTGATCCTTCCAACGGAGTGGAGGTCTTCCTCTGTACTGCATCGAATGGTTTCAAAGCTGAAGTATTCTTATCCATTTGGACAACATGACCCATCCATCATAGCTGATCATGGGGTGAACTATATTAATGTCCCCGTATACCTCATACAGCTCAGCTTCTGCGGTATTCGCCGTTGGCAATGGGCAAAAAACCATAAATCGTTCGCAAAACTTTTCTCTCAAAGACTACCAACATCGTTCACGTTTGTAGAGTTTGGTTTTGGTTCATCGAGAGAGGAACTGCAAAGTAGCAGCTGTCAACATGAGCGGATTTCAAAGCTGACTTTATTTTTGGGACGGATTATGACTGTCAGGTATGGTGTCGGAGTCGATCGGGATGGCGATGTTGGTGACAGGAGATAGGTTTCGTATCCTTATCCAATCTGAAAAAAGCAGAGCTCAGGGCGCGGTGATGTCAATATCATTGGCATACTCTAAGGGCCTTATACCCTTATAGTAGATTGATCTTCCCTATTTAACCCAGCAGCTCGTATTATTTACAGAATTCACATGATATTGTGTCACTTTGTTCGAAGCCTCATTTAATATCGAACAGCTCGGAGATGTTTTTCTAAATTCTGACTTCACTTCTGGTGTTGTCCAGCGTCAGTTTACACAGCCGTATAAGTTTTGCCGGGGATACCAAATTCAGACATAGCGGCGTAGAGGCAACTCCTTTTCATGCTCTCCAAGGCGGCATTAAAATCGATGAAGCAGTGATGTGTGTCGATCGTCTTTCCACGGATCTTTTACAAAATTTAACGCAGTTCGTTGACGGTTGGCTTTAGTCTTGCATAAAATACGCTCGATCGGACCTTATATGCGATATTGAGGAGGCAATTAGCGCAGGCTGTGGGGTTCCCTTTTTAATTAGATTGGGTAGAACATACTTAGGTTCCAAAGAAGCTGAGGCATGCACCTACCGCTGTATTTGAATAGCTCGATTGGCAATCTGTCGATTGTTTTTCAAGTTGGGGGAATCGTGGTGTACTATTTACACTACCCTTCAGCAGGCTGGTCAAATGTTCTATCCGTAAATCCCATACCGGGAGTAATAAACAGAATAAAAGGTTAGGTGGGTCGAAATTGCCGGTTGGTTATACTGCTATTTGGATGGGAAATTTTCAAGTAATGGTCGATCAATTCAAAATTAAGGAAAATTAATTTTTCCAATTGGTCGTCCTTCGGCAGGGAATGTCAAGACCATCGAGTGTATTTATGACGTGAAATAAATGCTCCTCATAAAAATTTATAAGCCGTTCGGAGGGGGCTTAGTATACACTATAGGTTTAGTTATTAAGTATAACAGTGTTGCCATATCAAAAGGTTGAGCCTCTAAAAATATAGCTAATATAGAAGAAGTAGCTAGAAAACCGATTATATTCCAGCAGCCTTCATAGGACGTCTTGATAATTTAATACAAAAATGCAACAATATTAAAATATATTTTTTTTTACGAAACTGAAATTAATTTAGAAAAAAAACATTTGGTATTGCGCAAAAAACATGTAAAAAGTTGTATAATAAATTTAGTTAATTTCCTTAGAGATTTGATAACCAAAAAAATTGTAAATCCTCCCTCACTTGCCTTTCACTCACTTATTTTTTTGGCGTTTATTGTATCAAATTAGAGTTGTGTAAAATATTAGTATTTTTAATTTGTTGTACATACAGTACGAAATTTTATCAAAATTCAATAATGTAAATTAACAAACCCTCAAAGTACATACACATTTAGCATTAGTCACATATTTCAGGAGAGAAAAAGAAAATATAATGCCATGTTCACATTGCCAATTGAATGCTTTATACTATTTTACAACATCTAAATTAGGAAATCTTAACACCCTTTCCCGGTTTGAACTCACAGCTGGTAACACCTGATGGGTATCGTTACGCATTTTCGTTTTTATTCGTTCGAATATTTCACTCTCTTGCGCAGGGTTGTATAATAATTATGACAATCGATAAAGGATACCGATAAACACGAGATAAATATAGAATTTTGGTTTTGCTGCTCGAGCCGCCATTTTAACGTTTATGTTAATATCAAACTATTTCAAAAAAAAAAATCGAAAAAGTTAAAATATTCACGGAAATGAAAAAATTAGATTGAGTAGAAGTTAAGTTAGGTTAAGCTGGTTGCCTCCATAAGATGTCTTACGTGTTACAAGATGCACTACACTATTAGCTGCTGCTCCACTTTCTTCTAGTATGAAGAACATTTCTGTTCTTTTGCAAATTTAAGCCGGCGCTTCGGCCTTTTCATCGCTCAGACTGTCTACAGAACACTGCGCACTTACAGATTACGTAGAGTAGTCTTCCCACCTCCTCCTCCTTGTATTTTATGTATTTGATATTATCAACCAGACTTAATTTGAAGTGACACGACGCCAACAGGCCGTGCCCTGTTAACAACCCTAATAGCAGCCTGAACTCTGAACTTTCTGTCGCTAGTAGAAACTTATTTAGTTTTTTGGTATCTCAGCCTTTTGCCTAATGGAGCTGATAGGTTTATAGCTATAACTCTTTAGCCAGTTGTACTTAGTTACGCTCGATACCCATTCGTCCTGTTACCCAGCTCCGACAGCCGACTTCGCCTTGCATGAAGGTTTAGCCATCAGTCGGCATCGGCTTGCGGGTACAATTAATAGAAGGATGGTGTATTGAGTCAAATTGTTACTGGAGACAAAACTTGGGTTCATAATTATGAGCCGGAGTCGAAAGAAAACTCCATGTGGTGGTATAAAAAGGGCACAGTACCTCCGAAGATTCGTAAGGTGTCACAGTCACTTATGACAATGGCATTTTGTGATTCGGAAGGAATATAATTGATCGAAAATGAAGATTAAGATGCCAGTAACGGAGAATTGGTGGGGTAATATTGACAATAGGTGCTGCTACACAGCAACACGCCGGTCCACAAGACTTGCGGTGCGTTGGCTACCCTGGTGGCCTTCAATAGTTTGAATTACCTGTCTCGAAAAATGAAAGAAAAAACGCTGAGTGGTACAAAATTTATCACAGATGATTAAGTCAAGGTGTCAGTTTTGGTTTTTTTTTTTTTCAAGATAAAGTGCAATTATTTTTTTTGGTACCAAAATTTAAAAAAAAAATCGAGTAACGAAATAAATTTTGCTAAAAAAAACTACAATTAGCTTAGAAAAATGTTAAGTCTGCGTGTGAACTCGCCTTCGTTGTAAACAATCGGAAGCTAGTGTTATTTGGCTAACGATAAATACATTTTCCGATAGTTTTGTGAAATGATGACAGGGCACTTTTTGAAGAGATTTCTCATGAGATTACTTAAAAACCTATAATCAATTTTAAATAAAGGTAATGTGAACATAAAATAATATTAAACAAGCCCTTGAACAGCATACTTCCCCTCCACACATAAAAACAAGTGTAGGTGTTGTGTTGACAAATAAAAAATTATTCTTATGATATTAATAATATGCATTTACCGTTAACTAAACGTTTATAAATGATAATTTATTGGTGTTTCATGTGTATTGTGTTGTATTTTTCAGATTTCAATTATTATTTATTAAAAATTAAAAAAAATATATCATACAAAATATAAAACACATAATTATAAGTAAAAAATTTATCTACAACAACAAAAGATGAATTTAGGTACTAAAAAGTACATATATTTCAAAAAAAAATTCTCATTAATAAAATTATATTTTCCTTCATATTTTTTTTAGCCGTTTCTAGTACTTTAGTGCATATATCTATTAGTGTATGTATGTATGTAATATGTGTATGTGTATGTATGTATGTAACTATTGAATTTTGACTGCCAATTTGTTGTGTACTACTAACTACAAAAAAAAAATAATAAATAAATAAAAAATGCCTTCTCGTTACTTCAACATATGTTTGTATGTATGTACGTATCTACTCGTAAGTTCATCGCTTCAGGTTTTATACTTTGTCATATTCCATTTCTGATGTTTAAAATCAAATTTTAATGATATTATAATGTGGAAAAAAAATTCAAAACCGTTATACTATATATATTTTTTTTAGAGAAACACAAATGTTAAGCAAAGTACAACCAACGTAACAATGTTAAATGCCGCGAAAGCGTTTGAAACAGAAAAGCAATATGGCGGTGACTATGTTCCTAGCAAGCAAAGTATTTGAAATGAAATGAAAAAAACGTTATTAATTAATTTTCAATTATTTTATTCATATATATATTTCCTCACTGCAACAATGAATGAATGAAAAACATACTTACATATGAAATTAGTATTTTCTTGAATTCAAGTTTTTTTTTTGTACACCCCTTTTTTGCTCAAGTACAATATTTGCATATTTTCGCTTCATGGCAATAATTATTTCATCACTTTAAAAGTAAAATTAAATTAAATCAAAGGCTAGTTGGAAAAAATTGGAGAATTGATACATATCTGCTAGATGGGTACGTCTAAAGAGTAGTAAAAAGTAAATAAATAAAAAAAAATGATAAAATGATTTTTAATGGAAAAATGTTATTTTTTTATTTTAATTAAATTTTTTTTAATCTTACACGGAAAAGAAAAAATACGAGTTTTAGCTAAATTTAACGTTGCATAAAAGTGAAAAAGGCTAAACAACAAGTAAATTTTTGTATTTAAAAATATTAAAAAAAAACCAATTAAATCTTTCGGTATTTTAAAAGAATAGAAAAATGTTCCAGTAATCCACGAAAATATTATGAAGCTCATCGGTCTATAAATTATTATAAAATTTTTAAAATTTACTTTTTTAAGTCTGAAAAAGTTTTCAAAATTCAAAAAATTTTCTTTTTTAAATCTGATAGACTTTTGAAAATATTTTTAACAATTACATTATTCCAAATCGTTTTTTCTAACTACAAAATGACTAAAAGTTTAAATATTTTGTTTAATCATCTAAAAAATAGCCTCTTGAGCAAAAAAAAAATATTTTTATTATCTAAAAAAGACACTCATGAATTATCGAATAAAAATTTTTTATTATTTGTTAGAGTTTCTATTTTTCAGTCTATTGCTTCTTTTTGAATCCATTTTCATATTTGGCACTTTCCTTTTAATTTTTATTTTCTATCTTTTTAAGCTAATAAGCCTATATCTACTTGCTTAAACTGCTCTTCTCTTTTATATAAAAAAACTGTAAACGTCTGTATGTATTTTATTTGTAAATATATTTCTGTAACATAATGTGAAATATGTAAACAAAATAAAAAAAAAACGAATGCTGTGCTCTGCCGCTAATGCTCGAATGCATTTCAAAATTATAGAAATTTGTATAAAAAAAGGAAACAAAATCCTCTTATCAAAAATTAATAAAAGAAAATTTTAAAAATTAAAAACAAGTAAAGAATAGATTAAAGCATAAATTTAAAATTTTTTTATTTAAAAAAAATTATCAACGCGAAAAAATTTTCGTTTTCCATTTTTAAAAAAAGTCATAAAATAGTTTTAAAATTAAATTAAATGTTTAGTTTTATTAATAATTAAATTAAATGTTTAATTTTAAAATTATTTTAAAAAAAATATTTATTTTTAATTATACGTTTCATCAAAAATTTTAAGAAAGGTTAAAAATGTCAAAAAAATTAAAGTGTTAAAATATTAAAGAATTTCTAGAAAAAGTAAGAAAATAATTTGAGCAAAAAAAAAAAAAAAATTGACGCAAAGTTTTAAAAAAAAATTTCATAGCGAAAATCTTTTACAATATCATTTTCAAAAATACCCTACATGAACTTTCTTGAAAATATTTAATTTTTAAGTAGTTGTTTTCAAAAAAAAAAAGAAATCGATACCGTTGAATATATTTGTATATTTTAATAAAAAAATACTTAATTTTCAATTACACATTTAATCAAAAACAAAAAAAAATTAAAAAGTCTCTAAACACAATTAAAAAAAAATTTTAAATCACAATTTCCAAATTAATTTCAATGCAAAATTTAAAAAAAAAAAGAAAAAAAAAAGCGAAAATTATTATTATTAAAATATTTTCACTCCCATTTTTTTTAGATATCTTAAATGAAACTTCTTAAAATAATTAATTTTCAATTAGGTGATTAAGCAGAAATTTAAAAATTGCAAGTTAAAAAAATTTAGAAAATTAAAATAACTGTTCAGAGGAAATTATATTCGTTAATTAAAAAATACTTAATTTTCAATTATACATTTAATCAAAAGTTGAAAATTAAGCTGTAAAAATTTTTAAAAATATAGAAAAAATTAAAGGGAAAATTTTTAATAATTAAAAAATTAAATGAAGTTTTATAATTTACAGAACAATTCAAATTAAAAAAATTTTAATAAATCGACATATAATATTCGAATTTCTATAATTTTGCGCTTGGCCCTATGCAACTCTGTGTATTTTCCTACTTCAACCATAAAATAATATTTGAAAAAAAAAAACTACTTCCTGTCTATATGAGCGAATTGTAAACAATTTGTTTTTTTTTTTATTTAGTTCAATATCCTTTGTAATATATTCGTACCTACTATTTGGCTTACTTCGTACCTACACGTTTCTTTGTTTTTCTCAAGAAAGTCATATAATTGAACGTGCTAATTAGCAACAATTTGCACGCCATGCTTGTACGCCTAAAACTATGCAACCAAATTTTGTATCTAAGCAAAAACTCGACACCAACTTCATGAATGTAGCTACAGTGCTCCCTCAAAACCAAAAAAAAAAAAAACAAAATAAAGCAAGCTTACAAAGCAATAGTTTTGCATTATTAGAAAAGCAGCAAATAACAGTAAATGCTAAAAAAAAAAATTGTATTGAAACCTCAACGCAAATCGGCCAAACATTTCTTTCAAAGACCCAACCAACTAATCATGCGAAACTTATGCTAAATGAATTTAAAAATAAAATAAAATACCAGTAAAAATTATAATAAATATTTTATATTACAATATATATTTTTTACTTTAAAAAATAGTGATTGTAAAACAAAATTATTTTACATTTCTTTCCTTTAATACGCTCTTAGTAATAAACTATGTTTTTATTTATTTCTCTCTTCAACAAATACGCGCACTGCTCCATCCACCCACCAACCATAGGTTCTCGAAGACCAAGTCTAGCGTCGGTTCATAGTACTAGTTCGTCCGTGCGTAGCTATAGTATGATGCGTTTCGAGAAAGAGGTCCAACAGAAGGAGATACGTCATGAGATGAAATTACGTTTGGCACGTCTCCAGCAGCAACAGCATCTAAATCAAAATAAACCACAAATTGTTATTGGCGATACATTGCAACATCATATGGGCGCAGCGTCGGCATTGAGTCGTTTAAGCGGTATGCCAACGCCCAGTCCATTAACGCCTAACTCAACGGATGAACTGCTACCATCGGTGGATGAGCTGCAAGAGGTGAGTCATTGTTTAATAGAGCTATGTAGTTTTGAAATGATTGATCTGACCAGCGAGGATGTTAAGGCGATGTTGGAGAGAAATAGTTCGGCCCGAACGTGATCTCTATTAAGGTCACATATACAATTTTATCTACTCTTTTGTAATGTTTTGTAGTTTCGTATTTATCGAGTGTAGCTTGAGCTATGGAAGTCGTAGTTTTTATTTGTTCTGTGCAGAATCCAAAATTTTTCCGAAGTTGAGGTGGGTCCGGTTTGTCTCTAAACACCTCATCGTCTCATAGTTGACGTAGAAATCGATTGTAGGCTCACTAATCATTTCTTATTTTCTCCATTTGGTGGCATCGTTTTGGTAACATCGTGTAGTGCCTAGTGCCGCCCCGCCTCATTCTTCCAACGGTGTGGAGTTTTTCCTACTTCTTTCTTCAAGAGAAGTACGCATTTCTTTAGGATAATGATGAGCATAAGCTGACAGAAAGTTACCTGTCACCAGTTACCACATTTGGTATCAAATGTTTTCGAGTGATCTTTCCCAATACCGAAAGCGTTTATGGTGCTCTGTTCTGGTACTGATAAATTGAGGATGCTAAGGTCAGACATAGCAGCCTCCCTTTGCCTGTTTGAAAACGCTGAGTAATTTACGATCCTTGTCTCATGGATCTTTTCCAAGTTCATGCGCATGGTAAAAATCTGATCGATGAAGAGTTTTTGAGGTCTGAAGCCATACTGATGAATTTTTCCTTGACGTTTGCTTAGATGTGATATAGAGGAAGCTCATCTCACAAAACTCACTTTTTTGAGGATTGAACAGAGATCACTCAGGATCAAATCATCCACCCAAGAAGCTATTACTAGCATTAGTTTTTCACTTTTCGATGATCAGCTGGTAAATCATCGGCTACGCGGGCATTTCATTCGTCAAACCATCAGTCGTTAATCGAACTTCGTCATGATAGAGTGACGAAACCTGTATTCCACCGTCACAGATTTTAGGTTCAGGCTCACCATTGATTTTATAATATGAACAGACAAGCTTGAAAAATGTTCTCTCCATATATGCGGCATGATCTAGACATTGGTTACCAGATCATCGCTGTGGTTCCAACACGCTCATGCAGCTTCAAACTCAAAACTCTTCTTATTAATGCATACTTTTTCTGTCCAAATATAGGTATCACCTACCACTTCTACGAGATATTTTCCCATAAATAGCATTTTTATTTCTCTACTGAAGCTCAATATTTTTCATTTAGTTCTAGTGTTTCTTTCAACATTATTGAAAAGCAATCGTGGTTCTAGTGACGATACATAAAGCGATTGAATGTCGTACTGCAGTTTTCTTATAACGAGTTATTAAAGAATGCTCTCTAAGAGCAGGAAGTGCGGGTCGAGTAGAAAAGCGGTTGGCTGACTGCTGTGATTGTAACTTCTTGACCGAGAATCGTCCTTGTGTTTGTTCATGGACGTTCTAAGCTGTACTGAGTTGAGTGCCTACCTTTGTGGGAACAAAATAGAGATCCCAGTGGATGATGAGACATCGGAGCGTACGGACCTATCAAAATATGGTCGATTTGAGACGAGCTTTGTTAAAGTTCTAAAGGATTATAGGCGTGTTCTCTGTTCGTGAAGTATTTTGTCATTCAGCCTCACGATTTTTCAATCTGTCCTAGAGTTACCTTCTTAAGAAATGGTATTTTTATAAACAAAGCCAAGACCTGATGAAAATCTGCACTTTGCATTTGACCTTTTACGAATAAATCAGTGCTGCTCTTCAATGAGATCTTCTGAAATTGGTTTTTGTTTCTTCAAAGAAACTTTAAATTTAAAATAGTTTTTTTCTCCTTTCACAGTATCCACCAAAAACTGACGATCTCGCAACAACAATACACAAAATGGCCGCCGATAGTGTTGCTGCTTCGACACTTACAGCGATTAAACAAGCTGCAATTGGCACTAGCCATGCATTAACAGCAGCAACAACAACAATGGGAGCAACAACAGCCGCCACAACAGCCGGTGTGAGTGCCAGTAGGACCAGTGGTAGTGGTGGAAGCTTACTAACACCTGGCACACCTTCAGATGTGGCTGAGGCGGCCGCTTATATAGGACCCTGTAGCTCATCGACTGAAGCACTCTAAAAGAGGTAATAACCAAAGAGAGAAAACCAAATAAAGAAAAATAATTAATAAATAGGAATAAATTTAAAGTAAATTAGAGCAAAAACAAGCAGTAGGAATTAACGAATTTGACCGCAAAAAAAAAACACACACAATATTAACAACAACAGCAGTAACAAATAGAGGCTTCAAATCGTAAATACAGAAATACAAATTAAAATTAGAAAGTATTCAAAACAAGTAAAAAGTATACGCAACAATGAAGAAAAAGTTTTACATAATAATACGCAACACATCTTCATATGTATACATAAACATACATATAAATATTTGTATGTCTAAGATTCAATATAATTTATAGTTAAAAGAAAAAAATCGAGTTAAAAGGTTTAAATATAAATATTTTGTGCAATTTTGTTTAAGAAAATAGTCAAGTTTAATAAAAAAATTATTGAAATAATTTTTTTGTAAGCCGCGATTTTTGTTGTTAGATTAGAATAGTTAAATATTAATGCAAAAATCTAACGGTTTAGAGTTGGTATGATCTATTTATAGACGCTATAACCATTTTTTTTGTTTATGTAATCGATTTATGTTTACTCTAAGATAACCCTGTATTTATGAAATAACCTTTAGATTTTATTTTAAATCAATCGAAATCGAATTATGGGTCAAGTAAAAAGTTTTCCATTATTTTTGCAATAGTTGGCATTAGGGATATGTAACTCGGGTTCTATAAGAGCGATTCGATTACAATGGATGACGTTAGAAAGTTGATATTTTATAGGTACTGAAAAAGAGAATAGAAGAAGTATAGATCACTTAGCTCAGTAATGTTTGGACGCATGTCAAAAATGGGCACCAGAGAAAATACGCTTTACGATTCCACAATTTTTCTACGATAAAGGCGAAACTACAACTCAGGCAGCTGAAAATGTGAAAAGTATTTATCGTTCCGATACTGTTACATTCAATCATGCATAATTTCGGTTCGTCGATTTCGTTCCGGTAATATTTATCCAAACGAAGCTCCACAGTGTAGAGGGCCAATTAGGCCAATTGTCCAAAATGCGGATAAAATCATGGAAATCGTCGCGTATAATCTTGAGAGCCCCGTTTCGACCATCCGTGAGCAAAATACAGTTTGAAACCACCTTGAAAATGCTGGTTACGTAGAAGAGCTCGATTTATGAGAGCAACATGTCTTAACAAAGAAAAACCGCATAAACCGAGTTTCCAACTGCGAAACAATGCTCAGTTGTAACAAAATCGACCCATTTCTCAAGTGCAATAGATAGTGATCTGGTGATGAAAAGTGGCTCACTTACAGCAGCATCAAACTAAAACGGTCATAGCTGAAGGGCAGTGAGTTGACATGGCCAGAAAGGTTTTGTTGTGTGTTTGGTAGGATTGGTAAGGAATCAACTATCATGAGCTGCTCCCCTACGGCCAATGCAAAGAGAATGGACTACGTTTTACTAGATCTCATATAGAAAAAAGGTTAAAGATCGGTCTAATTACAATCTTAAGTGATTTAATATATATGTTTGTATACATATAAAAGTATTATATTTTTTTGTCGCTCGGAATTTGATGAAAACGCTTTAACTATGGTTGTCCTTGATCTGCCTCCATTACCCACAATCGTGGTTTCAAATTTGACACTCAGTTTTCACAAGAAAGAATAGGTAAAATATTATAGTATAACAAATTATAATTTCTTTTTTAACATAATAAACAAAAGACAGTGGTAAATATTTGAAGTTGGCACAGAAAGACATAAAGTTCTATATATGCATAGTCAAAAAAAAAAAAAAAAAATTAAAAAAAAGGGTTGGATGCACCAACTGTCTACTCTTATGATTCCCAAATTATAATAAACTGCTTTCGATCTGCGACTGTATTTGACTGTGAGCGCAAATGTCTATCGAACGAATTTTTATTCGGTATTACAACGCACGATATGGTGACCATTCATCATGCGCAGCAAATGCAGATAGTAAAGGTACTGAATTTTTGTAAATTTTAAAAATATTTACCTAAACAAGAAAATAACTTGATATTTTTATACCTAATGTGAGCTATGTTTCCACATAGGCGCTGCTCCTCTCTATGTTGGTGGAGAAGAGGTCAAGCGGTTCCTTTACCGCCTCGTCGGTTGATAAGCCCATGCCCACCGTCAGGCAGGTAAAGAGTTAATGATCAGAAGGTACTAGATCAGAGGAATGTACGTGATGGTTAAGGACATTTCATTTTTACGAGGCGCTCGCTGGCGTTGACCGTGTGTAATCATGCATAGTTGTTTAGCAAGCAGATTTCTATTGGCAGCATGCCTCTCCTTTTGTTCTGAATTGCCTGAAAAGCCACAAACGGAGGATTTCCTTGTCAAACGCGTTAATGCATGACGCCGCGTATTCCCAACTTGGCGGATATTGATTGATTGATATTGCTCAGGAAATGTGTTGTCGTGTCCATAGTTCACAGCCTACTTGACCTCAAACCAGTTCCCTTGTAAAGGTGTTTCCAACAAGAGGAAAATAAAATCCCTACGGCCGTAAGAGCTTCTGTACACTTACTTCCTAGATATGCCTTGTAGCTTAGTACTGTTGGCTACTATTGTTTAATAATTAAAAGAAAAGAAAATATAATTTATTAAAGAAAAATTAATATTAAAAAATAAAAATCTTAAAAAGAAAGTAGTTAAAAACAGATGTAGCCTGCAGCGCTGATGTAGCCCCGAAGTAGTCTTATCATGGCGCTCAAAAATTTGAGGTAGGAAATTTAAAATGAACTTAATTGTTCATTACATTCATCATTACAAAATATAGCCAATTGGCGCTGAATAGCCATAACTGGGAACACTGATCAAAATATCATGCTTAAAAGTCGGCGAAACGGTGAAGATTAAGCCTGAATTGAACTATCCAAAAGCATCCTAACATCCTCTCATACTTTCAAGTTTTGCTCTCTACATCTTTCTTGCAATTGTTTTGTATGCTGAAGATTAAAAGAAAAATCAATCTTATGATACTGTATCAATGGACGACATATAACTGTTTCAAATGTGGGAATCTTACAGATAGTCTGAGGTTTTGAATAATTGTTTTTTCCAAAATTTAGTTACTTTTTATAATTCTATATATTCCACTTTTGAATTATAAAACAAATTTTTGGCAGAACAGCATTGTTATTGAGATGATATTTCGGCCAAAATTCTTCGATATTCCTTATTAATGAACCTATATTGTAATACTTACTTGTTTGCTGGTAAAAAAAATTTTCGTACATAAATAATCATTAACAAAAACTGTTTTTACACAAAAATATTTAGTTAAAATAATCCTATAACTAAAAGGAAAGAAAGTCTTTGCAAAACAATGAAATATAAAATGAAACTGCTGATGCAAAAAAGATAAAAGACATTAGTTTCATCGATAAATTCTTGAAAATCGTTTCAATCAATGAAAGATTCAGTACACACCTTGAGGGGCAAAACAATTCGTTGGAGTATCATCTTCGCCATGAAAATTTGGAAATTATATGTTTTTATAGAAATTCATATCTGGTTGGTGTAATGCCCAAGGACAATTTTTCATTGAAAATTTAAAATAGCTCCCCTCGTATTTATGAGTTTTCTGTGCCGATTTCAATAAATTTCAATTAATGTCAAAAAAATTAAAACTAATGTATATTATTTTTATAACAATAGAAAAAAACACATTCAAGAAGAATCATAAAAATTAATAAAATAAAATTATAATTTAAATGAATTAAGCGTATACTAGCGAAATAATTCAAAATAAATGCATGGATAATAATATTAAGACAAATGTAGATAATTTATATTATATTATTAGTAATGAAAAATTGTAAAGATGACTTTAGTAAAGAAAAAAAATTTAATTTTTTAGTACCAAAAAATATATAAAATTACATAATACAAAAACCAATATTTATAGAATAAGAAATGAAATTTACTCTAACGGTGTTGACAAGTTTGTACCCAATTAAAAAATAGACAGATTTATATATTAAATATATTTTAATTAATTTTCAAGCGTAAATTTGTTAAAAGTAATTAACAGATAATTCAAAAATATTGAAACTAGATCAAATGTTAAAAGTTAAATATTAAAAAAAATATATATATTAAAATTAAAAAAATTATATTAATAATGCGTCAAGCCCATTGTGTTGAGTATTTTTATTTTTGATGTACAAGTATTTGTAGAAAAAAGTTAATGCAAATTTAGATAAATTAATTGATATTTAGATAAATGTTAATACATACATGCATTTATATATGCATGTATGCTGTAAAACATATTTCGTAGGCATAATATATAGTATTTTTATATATACAAACAAACATATATACATATATATGCATACCTAAAAACTGTGTGGTCCTTATAAATATAAATGTTTGTATATACTTATATGTATGTGTATGTGTACAAATGTAGAGAATCGGCAAGTCTTATATGAAATGTATAAAAATATGAAAAAGATAAATAAAAATATTTGTTATTCATACAGCTATGTATGTAAGTAGTGAACAAATTATAACGAAAAAAAATATAAAAATGTTTTTAAGCAAAAAAATGAGTTAGTGCAGTATTTATTTATATATTTCAAGTTTAATTTTCTTGTAAATATATATATTTTTTCATTTTAAATCATTTTATACTAGGAATTGCTGTACAATACAAACAGAAACACGTTGTAAAATGTGGTAGATAAATGTTATCAAAAATAAACACACATATGTACATACATACATGTATGTTGTATATACATATGTTTGGAAAATTTGATTTTTTTCAATAAAATAAATAATTTCTCTTTAGGATGCGTAAACACCCCTAAAAACAACAAGTTTATATAAAATGAATTGTTGTGTAGTATTAGAAAAAAACAGTATTATTTACAAACACACAAATTTATGTATACAAATTTACCAATAAAAAAAATTATTTATTTATATTTAAAAAACAAATACACATACAACATACTAAACAATATAGAACCAACAACTCCAAGCAACAACTTAAAAATACTAGTTAAAAAATTTGTTGACCTATTTCTCATTACAAAATTTAAAAATACTCTTTTAGTGAGTTTATTTCATTTGAACTGTATATGAAAAAATTGAAATTATTTCACAATTGCAGGCTCTGTTGACTTTATTATATTTACAAACAAAAAAAAAAGAACAAAAAAACACAATTTAAAACTAGTAACTATTTTCCCTACACTGAAATTAGCGCATATCTCTACTATTATCATTTTAGCAAAAAGGAACAAGAAACAAAAGATTTTTCATCACTTACACCACCTTATACAGAAAAACATTCTTACTTTACATTTTTGATGTTTTTTACCTTCAGAAAACTGTAGACTTTTATGTAGTTACATATCAAATTCATTATTTGTCAGCGTAAAAAGCAGCGAAAACTTGCTTAAAATAATTACTAAATTCAACAAATATCTATCCATTTCTTCCGTCCTTTCGTAGCATATTTTATGCTTTCAACCAGAGTTGCTAATAAAACTAATAAAGCGATGTCATTTCGTTTCGTGAATATTAAAAATAAACTTAACGAAATGATTTTATCTAGTTTCAGCGCCATGTTATTGAAACGAAAATTTTTAATATTGAAACCGCACAAATTTAGCGTTAATGTTAATTTTAACATGGCTGATTGCTATGATATTAACAGCACACTGTTAACGGTTTAACATCACCTGCTATTGATTTAACATTATCTGTTAACGTTCAACATTTTCTGTTAACAATTTAACATTATTAACATTATCTGTTAACACTTAACATTTTCGGTTAGCAGTTAAAATTTTCTGTCAATGATTTAACATTATCTGTTAACGACTAATATTTTCTGTTAACACTTGACATTTTCTGCTAACGCTTTAACATTATCTGATAACGCTTAACATTTTCTATTAACGATTTAACATTATCTGTTAACACTTAACATTTTCTGTTAACACATAATTTTTTTTTTGTCACTGATTTAACATTATATGTTAACAACGAACATTTTCTGTTAACGATTTAACATTATCTGTTAACAACGAACATTTTCTGTTAACGATTTAACATTATCTGTTAACACTTAACATTTTCTGTTAACGATTTAACAGTATCTGCTAACACTTAACATTTTCTGTTAACGATTTAACATTATCTGTTAACACTTAACATTTTCTGTTAAAACATAATTTTTTTCTGTCACTGATTTAACATTATATGTTAACAACTAACATTTTCAGTTAACGATTTAACATTATCTACTAACGCTTAAAATTTTCTGTTAACGATTTAACATTATCTGATAACGATTAACATTTTCTATTAACGATTTACATTATCTGTTATTAATTTAATATTAACGACAGCATATCCTTTCGGGTAATAACGAAATCAATCATTTTGAACAAAAAATTTTGCTTTTTTTCTAAGAACTTTTTTCTATAATTTTAAATTTTTTTTATGTGCAAAATTCATTGAAGTACTAAAAAAATTTTGACAGATGGAAATTGACAATTTAAGAATTTCAATCAAACTTTAGAGAAGTTGAGCAACGAAGGAGTATCGAGCTCATACCCGAGTATCTCGAGCTCTAGTTTAATTACATTCAAAAGTGTATAGTTTGTAATGGAGAATATTTTGAAAATAATTTCGGAAGATAAATATTCGTTTTTATTCTCTAATCACGAAATATTAAAGGCAAACCTCGTAAATAATTCCACCATCGGTACATTTTTTCATTCTAAAACATCTTCAAACACAATATCCGGACTCTTCTTCATTATCCATTAAAAACTAGCGTAAATCCGAAAAAAAAACTATCCCAAAGCGTTTAGTATGAATAGTTGAAATTTCTTTGTAGCCAAACATATCTTTGTATATTTTTTAGAATATTTAGTTTTTGTACTTAGATACATACAAACATATACACTAGATAACTATGCTGCTACTGCTATATATAGTACCCAACCTTATTACCTGTACAATATACCCATACCCTCTATATATACCTAGTGTTCGTATTATATACAAAAAAAATACAAAAACAAAAAACAAAAAATTACAGAAAAAAGTTATACAACAGAACAAAATTAAAAGTCATACTCGTACATACATAAACGTAGACGGAACTACACACTATAGCCATGCCTAAACCTGCGTTGTGTTAACCCTTGTGAACTACAAAGAATAAAATAAAATATAAATACTTACAAAATTAATTACAAAAAATATTTAAAAATAAAACTCTCTTACCGATAAAAACGAATTACTTGAAATAGTTAATGTTATTTAAAAAAAAAATAAAATGCAATAAACAAATAAGCGCTAAAACAACAATTTCAAATTATAATATTAGTTTAATTTTAGATAACTACTTGAACGATGAACTGGTTAATTATATGTAAACATACATATGTACTTACAAACTTGCATACACTATAACTAACAACTATTTAACAACAAACAAAATAAAAAAAGAAAACTTGAAATAGAACATTAATACAAAATAGTAATAGAATCTGTAGTTTAAAACGAACTTTGTAGAGATTTTGCAAACCCCACTCAATACGAAAAATGCAACAAACGAAAATAATAAACTTACAAATCTATAACTACCACTATACTACAACAAAAATATGATTGAAATTGTTTTTGAAAAAAAACAAAAAAACTACAGTTATATTTAGTACATAAGAAGTAAAACTATTTATAGAAATGGAACTTGTAAACATTTATTTAGTACTATTTAGTACATTTACTTATCACTTAAGCATTTTGTGAACATTTTATTTTAATTTTTTTTCGTGAATTTTTCAAACTACCTATTTTTTTATTTATTATTTATTTAAAACAAAATGTATTTAAAAAAACATAAAGCTACGCTCAAATTCATTAGGCTGTATTCTTTTCGTAGAGATTAGGCAAATTTTGTTATGGAAGAGAGAGAGTGAGCTGAGCTAAGTCGCACTCATCTTCCTCTTCTTCTTCTTCTTCTTAGTCTGCCTACAGTTTATTGTTGTTGTTGTTGTAATCGCATAATTGTTCCCTTTGGGGAATATTACGGGAGTGACAGTCCTTGGCCGGATAGAAATCCGGGTCGTTCCGGTATAAAAACCCGATTGCCGCGGGAACTATTAGATTTTAGTCGCCTCTTACGACAGGCATGCCTTACCGCGGTTAAATTCTTGAACCACTAACCCGCAAGGGTACCTACAGTTTATTCTAAACCACCGCTGAACGATCGGCTTCTATTTCATCTTATCTCATGATCTTTAATTTTTTATTTTGGTCGAACTAGTACTCGGAACCTGGTCTTCCAAATGGCAGTACGCAATGATAACCACTCGACTGTTGCGGCCTTCGCGATTACACAATTTCTATAGCCGAATCAATAATAGCGCCTACCTTCTATCCGCTGTTTGGCGTCAACTGGAAATTCCAAAAGCAGCGAGGCGCTTCTTCAGCTCCGTTTGTTCGTCGAGAGTGGAATTGACTATTCAATTGTCTACTCAGTCCAAAGTAGCACCTCTTGTCAAGGCTGATATTATTGCTGATTCCAAGATAGACAAAGTCATCTGCAACCTCGAAGTTATGACCGTTAATAGTGACACGTGAGAGTCAAGTGGCGAATGTGATCACTATTTGTTTGATGACAGGAGATATTTCGTCTTGCCCTCGTTCACTATCACTGCCACACTTCGCAGTTTGCAGTAAACAATGCCCGGGTTTTGACGCGAATGATACGCCAGCAGCGCTCTGTGCGCTCTTATAGAAGATTGTACCTTTTCTATTCACTTCTGTAGCTTATATTATTTTCTCCAGCAATAAATTATAGAAGTCACACGATAAGGAATCAAACTGTCTAAAACCTCATTTGGTATCGAACGGCTCAGAGTGGTCTTTCCCCATTCTGATGCAGCTTTTGATGTTGCTCGATGTCAGTTTACACAGTCGTATAAGTTTAGCGGGCATACCAAATTCCGACATAGCGACGTAGAGGCAGCTGATTTTCTTGCTCTCGAAGTCTGCTTTAAAATCGACGAAAAGGTAATGTGGCTCCTTTTAATACAGCACATAATAATGGACCGACCAGTTCCAATCAGAGAAGGGAAGCCAAGTCCCGATGCAATCTTGCTTCGTCGGTCGAATGGACTGTGAAAACGAGCTAAGGGCTGCAGAATCACGTAAAAATTATGTTTTCAAACATACAAAGTTTTCACTAGAGCTAAAAAGGCCGGATTCTATTATGCTGGTAGAACTGTCAAAAGGGAATTGCCTTTTGACGTCGCATGCCTTCAATATATAAATCTCAATGCGGAGACAACAAGTGCACAAAGTGTAGGGAATGTGTGAACACACGGGAGCATGTAATCAGCATTCGACAGATGAAGATTAAGCATACTTAGCGCAGAAAGGCTGCGGAAGCTTCAATCGGCAATAGCCAAGGAGCCAAAACGACTACTTTAATTTGCGAATAGGACAGCAATGTTCTTCACACTAGAGAGAAATAATGTATCTGGCAGCACTGTGCACGTAAATTCGTATAAGCGAGACCTGCTGAGTCAGCCAGTTCAGCCTAACCTAACCTAAACATACCAGTCTAAGCTCAGTAGCTTCACTAATTATTATTTTGTTTATTTCACATTGATTTTGAATTTAGAAATACATTTTTGTGATACAATTTTTGGTTAACTACAATGTTTTAGAGAAATTTTTGATTTTTAAGAATTTTTTAACGGTTTTTTTTTTCAAGACGCCAGCCTAAATTTATGGTTTTTTTTAATTAAGTCGCATTTGTACTTACCGAAAGAGTCTCAAAATAAAACAATTCAAGAAAACACCTAAATACTGTAGCAAAAAAAAAAAAAACAACAAAACCAACAAAAACTTTTAATAAACCACAAGAAAATCGTTTTCAAATTTATTATTCTTTAGCCAACGTCGTTTTCGAATAAATTATGTACGTATGTAGTTTACGTTGTTAAAATTTTATGTATAGATATGTATGTATGTAAAATAGATGATAATAAAATACGAATTGCGGCAACAGAGATAACAACAAATAAAAAGAAAATGTTATTTAGAAAAATAAAGCAACGCCAAAAAATATATATGTATATGCCATTGCGTCTTTTCATTTCACAAAACACACACTAGAAGAGCTTAATCGACCTCTTCGATAGTTGGTCCACCAGCCGTGCCGGCAGGACCACCAGCACCCGGACCGCCTGCACCAGCACCAGGTGGCGGTGGTGGCACGCCGCCCTGATACAAGCGTGTAATAATCGGACTGCAGATCTTCTCCAACTCTTTTTGCTTATAATCGAACTCATCCTTCTCCGCCTGTTGATTGCTATCCAACCAACTAATGGTCTCATCGCATTTTTGCAATATCAGCTGTCTGTCGCCGTCCGAAATTTTTGCGCGTATATTTTCATCATCCATTGTGGACTTCATTTGGAAGCAATACGACTCGAGCGCATTCTTAGCGTTGATGCGTTCACGCTGCTTTTCATCTTCATTGCGATACTGTTCAGCTTCGTTCACCATGCGCTCGATATCGTCTTTGCTCAGTCGCCCTTTATCGTTGGTTATCGTTATTTTGTTCTCTTTACCTGTAGACTTCTCAATGGCTGTCACATTCAGTATGCCATTGGCGTCGATATCGAACGTAACCTCAATTTGTGGCACACCACGCGGCGCAGGCGGTATGCCGCTCAACTCGAATTTACCAAGTATATTATTGTCTTTGGTCATAGCACGTTCACCCTCGAATACCTGTATCAACACGCCCGGCTGGTTATCTGAGTAGGTGGTGAAGACCTGTGTCTGCTTGGTGGGTATGGTTGTGTTACGTTTAATTAACACCGTCATCACACCGCCGGCGGTTTCAATGCCCAACGATAGTGGTGTCACATCGAGTAAGAGCAGATCCTGTACCGCCTCGGACTTATCACCACAAAGTATCGCCGCTTGCACAGCAGCGCCATAGGCCACTGCCTCATCCGGGTTAATGGACTTATTTAACTCTTTGCCATTGAAGAAGTCCTGCAGCAACTTTTGTACCTTCGGTATACGCGTCGAGCCGCCAACCAAGACAATATCGTGTATTTGACCCTTATCCATTTTGGCATCGCGCAACGCCTTCGCCACCGGCTCCATAGTGCCGCGGAAGAGATCGCCATTCAACTCTTCGAAACGTGCACGTGTTATGGATGTGTAAAAGTCGATGCCCTCATATAGCGAATCAATTTCGATGCTCGCCTGCGAGGAGGCGGACAGCGTGCGTTTGGCGCGTTCGCAAGCCGTGCGCAGACGTCTCAAAGCGCGCTTATTTTGTGCCAAATCCTTTTTGTACTTCCGTTGAAATTCCTGCACAAAATGATTCACCATGCGATTGTCGAAATCTTCGCCGCCCAAATGTGTATCGCCCGCCGTGGACTTAACCTCAAAGATGCCATCCTCAATGGTGAGTATGGACACATCGAAAGTGCCGCCACCCAAATCGAAAATCAATACATTACGTTCACTAGTGCCCTTCTTGTCGAGACCATAAGCAATGGCTGCAGCGGTGGGTTCATTAATGATACGTAGCACATTCAGACCGGCAATAGCGCCCGCATCCTTGGTGGCTTGACGTTGTGAATCGTTGAAATAGGCTGGCACAGTGACAACAGCATCCGTAACAGTCTTGCCCATGTAAGCTTCGGCGGTTTCCTTCATCTTTGTCAATACCATCGAAGAGATCTCCTCCGGAAAGAAGCTCTTCTTCTCACCCTTATATTCAATACGCATTTTCGGCTTGCCATTATCATTGAAGACCTCGAATGGCCAATGTTTCATGTCGCTCTGCACTGTGGCATCATCGAACTTGCGGCCAATCAGACGTTTCGCATCTATGTAGGTGGAAGATAAGACGAGAAATACTAAGGTAGCTTGGTGTTCTTACGGATGGTGTACGAGTACGTGTGAGAGGATTCATAAAAGCATATGAGAATTTGTGTATATTGGGCTATGTGAGACAGTAAAATGAGCGCGGAGCCGCAGGCGTACATTGTAGGCAGTAAAAAAGAGTATTCTTTTTTTAGTTTCTTCGGCAGGCTGTATACGTTTTTTTTTTATTATAAATAGTACATATATGTAAACTTTAGTACATAGAAATTATTTAAAGTGAAGTTAACATTACGGCTGACAACAAAAGTGGATTATAAAGTAAGTATTTAAAATATATATTTATGTATTAGTCACATGACCAGGCAGAAAAGAACATATTTACTCAATACATTGGAGTTCAGAGACTCTCTGAGTTACAAAACTGAAATGAAATAACACAAAAAACGATTTTATATTAGAACTAACTCGGTCTCAGAGGCATTTCTATTTAAGTAATATAGTGAAGAGAAGTAGATAGATTAAAATATAGTGTAGAGAAGAGAATTTATGAGAAAACATTCCTTGGAGTTAGAGTAAATTTTAATCAGAATAATTTTAAGTAATTTATTATTGACTTGAGTGATGCAACAGTTTCGTTTGTGAATATTTTAATGCCGTTTTACACGTTTCGATAATCGATTATCGATTGTTAGGGAAGACAATTGCATAAGCAGATGATGAATTGAGATGGTGAAAAGTTAGAGATGATCTTAAGATATCTTTGAAGAAAAAAGAATTTGAAGAAAACCAAAAAGTAAAGCCTCTGCAAGATATTTCCGATTTGCGAGGGAACGTTCTTATGTTCGCGAAATGAAGGCTATGTGATGGACAAAAATAAAAATATTTTTCCTTTTCAATATATTCATTTGTTAAATTTTTTAATCAGGGAAGCAGGGAATGTCCACCCCGCAGAGTGTATTTCGGACATGATATAAAGGCTGCTCGTAAAAGAATCATAAGCCGTTCGTCAATTTTCCTACGCCTTTTCTCCATTCATAACTGCTCTTAGTCACTCTTATATGAAGCTTAGTTACCGAAACATCTTTATCTTTATATACGATATATATATAAATATATATTCCTTTCGAGTTGCAAAAGACCATTCTTAGCTTAGCGTGACACCTTAAACGATATGGAAGGTGTCTTGCTTTCCCTCAAGCTCGGCTTCAGCAAAAATTTGACAAATACACTATTACTCTCTTCATTACGAAGGTCCAAAAATGCATGTGATGGTTGGCATAGCACTTAGCCTTAACCGCTTCCAGAAAAATTTGTTCTATGAAGTCATTCTGTTAAAATTACATATCCTTGGTGTCATACTCTTTAACATTTGAAAAGAAATCATCTCTGTGTAAGGCACGGTACTGATCGACATTAACGGTAATAGCTCGTTTTGTAAGAAAAGTGTATCGGTTCACTTGCCACACCAAACAGTTAATCGTTGAGGACAGTTATCCCACAGTCATGATTGTATCATATGTAGTATTTTCCATGGCCAAAACTCAAAGTTCCATGTGTCTGGTGTCGATCCATCGAATATCTTCAATATAAAGTAGGATGGGAAGAATGGGCGAGAGGTCAACAAATTTTTTTCGTCCCATATAGTAAATCATCTTTAATTTGTTGAAAGCGCACCTAAGGGATTTCCCCATTGAAGTGGATGTCCACTTAATATCTTCGAGAATACACAGAAGCCAAAAACGCAGCATGAGTTCGCAGCTTCGGATGGGCACAGCCCTATGTTCCTGAGCATGCTTGGCATTTAGATTCCTTCTGCAGAGCTCTAAATACCTATTATCAACAAAGAAGAGCTTGGTCAATCTTCACTGATTGACAAATAGTGAGTTAGTTTTTAAAAAGCAGAAAGTTTCCTTTTCCTCTCCCATTGTATTACGACTTTCGTCTAATTTCGGTAGTACCATTTGTATGCGGCCTTGTGCTTCGCGGTTAGGGGACTAGATATAGCTTTTAGGACTTAAGCTGGTAAACTGTTAGCGCTGCTTCAAACATCCCCGTATATATTAATCAGCCTTTTGCCGCAATGTCTTACTCTTACTTTTCCTAAAGATATCAAATTCATGAACAGAGATATTTTCCCAATTGGGCATCGGTCCCATAAAGAATGCAGTCAATAAGTTTCCCGCATTTCAGTGGCCTTCTACACCTGGCACCGGCCACATTGTTTGACACCAATCAAATAACAAATTAGAGACTTAATTTTTTTTTTTAAATATTGCCCACATTACCTCCGCCCAGACATTGAGATGAAACTAAGGTGTTTCAGTTAGAGATAAACATGCCACATAGCAAGCTATTTTTAAAACCAAAACGGTGCATAAATCAGAGAGATGAAATGGACGTCAGTTGATGGCAACTGCAGCGACTCATACGTGACGACAGAGAAGCTGCTACATAGAAGTAAACAAAAATCGAAAAACACAACAAGATGCTGAAATAACGAGGACAGAGTTTTGTGCTTAAAAATTGTTAATGAAATAGAATACACAAAGTAACATATATATGTATATAACATAAACACACACATACGAGTAAGTACGAATGACGCGCAGATGTATACAAATCACAGATAAAGTTACATAGTAGTAGCACAAAGAATAAATAACGGAATTTATGAAATGTATAATTTACAACTAAAATTAGCAACAAGAAGAGTAATAAAAATTTACATGGCAACAAAATAAAATTTAATTGAATGAACATAAACTGGCAGTCATTGGACGCGGCTACCAAAAAAAAACAAAAAAAAAAAACAAAAAAACAATTTTGGCACAACACTGGCGGGACGCTGTGGCTATTAGGTTTGCCAAAATAAAAGAAAGACAATAAAATGAAACGAAAATACGTCAAACAGTTTTAAGACTTGAAAAATGATAAATATAAGGCGACAAGTGCACAATGTATCGTAGCCAAAAACCCAGTCATGAGGCGATACCTAGCAATAGCATTGAAATGCAAAAAAATTGCATACAGGGTGATTCGAATGTGTCAAAAAACGGTTTTTTAGCCAAAAAAGTTTATATTTCTTACAATCGTGAGAAAATGAAATATCTTAACGGCCAGAATCATCATGGGTTCGTATCCTGAGCAGACCGGCATCCAAATTAATGGAAATTAATTTTAATTTATTTTCTTTTTTTTCTAATTGCGATCACTCGTCGACAAAGAATGTCAATAAAGCAAAGGCTCCTCTAAAAATTGATCGACCATTCGGAGGAGGCTTAGCAAAACCTGTGGGTCTCTACATCATTTGGCTCTGTATATGTCTTGGCAATGGCTTTGGAAGAGGGAATTAAGCGGTGGTTAAAGGAGACATTCGAGAAGTTGGGCACGAGCGGAATACTTAATCCCTTTTGACTCAACTATTTGTTCACAAACAGTACACTGGCTTTAAATTATTATAGAATTGTGTTGATTGACATTTAAGAGCAGAGCTTGCGTTGCCTAATCACCCATTAAAGTGTGCGCGTGTTTCTTTGAGTTGATATGCATGAGTTATTATGCTTCGTATGCAATATTAGTGGGTGGTGGTGGGTGAGTGCTCTATCAAGTAGTTATTATTATTTATTATTTTGTGTTGTAATCTGTGGTTGTGGTACTTTTGTTTTAAACTCACCAAAGATAGTATTATTCGGGTTCATGGCCACTTGATTTTTGGCTGCATCGCCAATTAGACGCTCCGTATCGGTGAAGGCCACATAGGATGGAGTTACCCGATTACCCTGATCATTGGCTATGATATCCACTTTGCCATGTTGAAAAACACCAACGCATGAATATGTTGTGCCAAGATCAATGCCGACTGCAGGCGCTTTAGCCATATTGCTGACAGTATTGTCGATGTCGCGCTAAAATTTTTGCACAATTTTTGTTGTTGTTGTTTTTCTTTACTTGAGTTGTTACACTTGCTGTGATGTAGCTGCTTTAATTATAGCGTGTGCGCGGCATTCGATTGACAATATGCACATACATTTTCATTTTCATGTATATATGTACAATATATATGTAGGTACAATGGTGCGCGTAAAGGCGAGAGTTGTTGGCGTCGGCGGCAATGGTAGCATTAATGATGATTACACAGTCAAATATACATACATACAGATGAACCAAATTTAGTTGCACCAAATTATGCAGCAAGAATGCGCGAGTTGCATAAGATTAAACAAATAAAAAAAAAATATTTTAAATTTCACAAAAAAAATTCACTCAAACTTACCACACACTTATGTAGCAAATCAGCTAATTTTGTTGCAATTTATATTTAGCTGATCCTAATTCTAAACGCTTACTTAAAATGCGTAACGGTATAGGTATAGTGATATGATGAGGAATAGCAGGACGAAGGTGGACACTCGTAGAAATTCTAGGACTTTCTCTCTTTGCAGCTCCACTGCGACGGCGTTCGCATATGCGTTACAACGGCACGAACGCGTAGAAAAGTAGGTATTTTATTGAAAATTTTAATATGCAATTTTATATATCTGCAACTCGTTTTTTATGCACTAAAAACTTTGAACCATTATGATTTATCTTCCGAATGAATTTTGTGTTTTTGTTATTTTGAATTTGAAAACTTTCCGCTACTACCTATTTTTATTTCTCTTTTGACGTTTTCGTACGAATTATTTCTGTTTGTATATGTACGTTAACAAGTGTTGTGTACTCGGCCGCTGCTTGCAAGTGAATGAGTTGAAAAGATCACATTTTGTGTTTTGAAAATATTCTTTCGATATGTTTTGTTAATCAATGTTAGCCGTTTGCTTTGAGCACTCAACTGAATTTTCACGATCAATGTTAATTTTAATTTAAAGATTTTTCTCGAATTTCTCTTTATACGCTGCATGCTTTCATACTACCAAAATCTCTTCTGCTTCTCTTGACGATTGCTTTTGTTGCTCTGCGGTACCATTTGTCATTTGCCTTTACTTACAAAAAGAAAAACACAATTTTTTAATTATTTTACTGTAAAAGTTAATTGTTTTTTATTTTTGTTTTGTTAATAATTAATATTTCGCTTTATTTCGTATTTACTTTCAATATTGTTATTTTTTCTTTTATTTAAATTACTGTAAAAGTTTTTATTTCGTCCTCAACCTACTATTTTTGCATGTTTTTTTATATTCGTCTGTTTTAATGTTAATTTATGTTGTATTGCACTACTGGCATAAATTTTGTTTTAATTTATTTGCATAAGTATGTATGTATGTATGTATGTATGTGTATGTATGTATGTATGTATGCAACTAAATAATTTGTTTTCTTTTGGAAACTATTTACTTGTGACCACAATTTTTTTATGCATATTGTTGTTCATTATTTCGTACACAAATGATTCAATAACAAATTCTTAATAAAAATATTTAGTTATCTTTTTATATTTCATTGTTTACATTTGTGTATGTAAGTATATTCATTGTTAATTTAGAATTCAATTCCACTACGGGTACACTGTTGTTGTTTATTTGCAAAAATGTTTTTATTAAGATGAATATATGAAATATCGTTATATTAGTAACATGTCGATTTTGTATGCATGTTCACAGGAATATGTATTAGTGAATGGATAGATGTATTTTGTGATTGTATTGTTAATTATTTGTTTACAAACTTGTTAAAAAATGTGTTAATACAAAAAAACTTGTGAATTATTTTAGAAAAGCCTAAGTAAATTATAGGCATTATACGCGTATATTTGGTGGTGTAAAAAAAATAAATAATATTTTTTAATATTTTTTCTCAACAAGAAAGAAACATCACGCAGCATTTTTTCTTAGTATGACTCAAATTTAAAATTTGCAAAACCAAAATATTCAAGGGAATTCACTTAAATTCGATTTTTTTTAACTAACATATGCGTTTGCAATAATATAAGCAGCACATAGTCACATAAATATATATGTATGAATATGTGCATATTTCACAGTTTGCGCTTGAGGCTCCGTTTTTTCCTTTATAACTTTTCGGCCATTTTGATAAGTTCACTGGCAAGCGCAGGCTCACAACTAATAAGCATTTTAAACAAGTTCTTCTATAAATTGCAATGTTACACTATTAAGTAAAACAATACGTATATATTTAACAACAAATTTAAAATAAATAAGACATATAATGCACTTAATTTCTTTTCATTTAAGCGCAACGATTAAACGACGACTCAGCGGATTTCCGGCGGACTTTCGGTAATGAAAAACGAGCTGTTGGTGTTGGCATGGTGCTGCCAATTGTACCAAATTTACATTTACTAATTAAATAAATGGGTTCTACATTTTGATTGGATAAATCGGCTCGGTTTATTAAAAACTAGGTAATATAATAATATATATAAATAATAATAATATTTCAAGATAAAAGTCAAATGAAAACTGGAAAAGTTGTATAAGTCTGATTAGATTAAATGGGAAAAAAATTAAAAAAAATTTATTTTGCATAAAAATAACTATTTTTTTACACTTATGGTATGGTATTATGATTATTTGAAAGTTTGATGCTTTTCTATTTTCTATAAAGTTTTCCCAAAAAATTCTTGTTTTACCTTGTTAAAACTTTGAAACTTTTTTTTTCTTTTTAATTAGCATAGTTACTTTTATTCTTTTACATTTATGTATATTTCACTGTATAAATTACAAATTGTATTTTAATAAATACTAGTTTGTTAAATGTGAAAAAATTATATGGCTCTTTGTATTTAGCATTGATTGAATTGTTCGTTAATTAATTCACTTTTTATTAAGATTTACTAAAAATATTTTTTCATATACATTTATGTTTGTATGTATAATTTCGAAATTAATTTCGACAACGTCAAAGCTTTGGCTCTATCATGCATAATAAAATACTAAACTTTTAATTAATGATTTTTGTCCAATATCGTCTGGAAAGATTTATGAATCCCGTTTATCGATCTCCATCGATTTGAAAAATGTTCATCTCTGGTGTGTTTTTGCTTCCTTTTTTGAGAGAATTTCTAATTTACACACACTTTACTGTTAACACGAAGTTAAATGTTAATTATGGTACATTTATTATTTTATGCTATTTTCTTCTATTCAATTTCTTTATATGAAAAATAAGTCAGTCGGTTAGGCATGCGCTGATTCGAAATTCATTCAAGTTTTTATTATACTTTCTTATTGTATAGGTATGTATGTTTGCAAGTTGGGTGTAAATGTATATATGTATATGTATGTATGTTTATAAGTCGTTAGGGTAGCCTACATAATTTTTCTTTGCATTTTATTTATTAATTTGTTTTTGTGTTATTACAGTTTTGTGTCTTTTATTGGAAAATTGTTCTTATTTAGATTCAATTTTATTTCTTTAAGTTGTTATTACTAATTTTAAACTTTAATTTCCCCATAGAAAACTTACTTTAAAAATTTTGTTTTTATTTTTTATGTTTCCACTAATTTACTACCAATGCTTATAATTTGTTTTTAAGTATTTATTTATTTTATCATTATTTTCTTCTTTTTTTTATTTTGTTTTCACAAATATACTAAATTTCTTACCGTATTCTAAACTTTTGAATTTACTTTAATTTTAATTTCACTTTGTTTATTTAATATTAAAAAAATTCTTTTTAATCACTATTTTGTAAGTTTCACATTACATTATTTCATATATTTATGTATTTGTATGTATGTATGTAAATTCTTAACGCTTAAATAATAATATGAGAATTTGCAAGTCTCTCTCAGCCCTGTCATCAACTTTATTTCCCATTAAATGTGTGTAACTCTCTCGATGTGCGTATAAGATGCGTTCGTTTCAGCTTTAAGCAATCAGTCAGTAAACAAGCGAAACGAATATGGCCACCTTTCAAACGAACTCCTCCTGCTCAAGCCAGGGATGATTTAGACATTCGGCTGCTGAAGCACGTATAACAGGATTGTATTCAAGCATCGGTAGTAGAAAATCAGAGAATTTTTTCGCTTCAATAGGATCCCAGTCGTATTTTTCGATCAGTACATTCAATAGACTCCATGGTTTCAATTTCGTAATATTTCGTAAGCTACCTATAAATTACAACAAATAAAAAATGATATAAATAAACCATAAAAAACTCATATAATTGTACGTTGTACGTTACCATAACTAGTGAAGTACTTGAGCCCATGCTTGCCACGCAATATGACGGACGGTGGTATTGCGCCTAATAATTCAATTATGTGCGCTAAATGATCCTCATCGCGTGAGTAATTCTCACCTGAATGTGGATCGAAGAGATAATCACCGGTTGCCAATTCGAATGCGAGACAAGCAGTGCTCCAGATATCGGCGGTGAAGTTATACGGTGCACCAAGCAAAACTTCTATAGAGCGATACTGACGCGTTTGTATGTCTTCGGTGAAATGATGATACTGTGAAGTGTTTAAGTAAGCGAGAAGTGAAATGAATAATACGTATTTTGACAATCAAAAACATATACAATAGAATAAGTTTGCAACTTACATCATAGCAGGCATTTCCCAAATCCGCAATTTTAACACGTACATTTGTATTGTTAATCAACGCTTGTATGGCATTCGTGTAGGACTGGGTCTAGTAATTGTAAAACAGAGTACTTTATGTAGTAAAGTTCAAGTATTGTGTTTTTGTAATTTATACGTAAATTATAATGATTTAAGTTTTTGATTGTATGAAAAACATAAAAAAAATATTGCAAAGAATTTTATTGAATTTGTAGTAAATGCTATGAAAGTTTAAAATCTGTTCAACTAAATAAATACATACATATAAGTGCGCAAAATTTTTGTTTAGTACAATAAAAATAAATAGTTATTATATATTAAGTGATTTTTCTTGTGAAAATAATTTTTTTTACGCTAACAAATTTCATAATCGATATACATAAGTATCATAATCGATTGTTTTCACAACGAAATGGCGTCAGTGTTTAAAAGGTTTTTTAATGATAGGAGTAAATTGGGCTTGGAAATGGTATATGGAGTTGTGCTGGGCAAAATTTAAGTAGAACAATAATAATTTACAAGCAATCGAAAAACAAGTAGGGGCATAAAATATTTTAAAGAATATAAGAATATTAAAATATAAAAACTAATATAATTTTATATGCAAAAATAGTAACAAAAATTAATTACTTTATTCATTGAAAATTTACGCTATTTGCTAGAAAAAATATTTATTTACAATATAAAACTGCATTAAAGACATACACATGTAGCTGCATATTCTGCGAAATAGTTATATTTTATTATTTGAATAGATTTATTTAAGCATCGTTTTAAGTACATAAAATCAGTTCTATTGTTGTTTTTTTTTTCTAAAAATAACACTTATGCAATTTTCTAAGTAATTATAGTTTGATAAAATTATTTACAAAAGAACAAGTTCTAAATAGAAAACATTCAAATCTCTAAGTCCAATTTCATTTAAGTGAATTTTAATTAAATTTTCGATTTTTCCGTTACACCAACCAAATTTTAAATTGTGACTTCACTTAAGCTTCAGCTACGGTCAGAGATGTTTATCGCTGAATCAGCTGTTCAATTCATATGTGTAAGTACACAAAATCTGTTTAATTTAGTAATAATTGAAATTCATTTAAAGTTTAAATAAATGGAAATTAAAATCAACTAATTGCCACAAACAGCTGGCAACTGAATGGGCAACTTTTGGCATTGCATTGCTAACAGAGTTGCTTACGTAGGAAATTTTATTTAGTTACTCATCATAAATGTCAAAGTCAATCTCTCACGTAAAGTTCTAACCGGTAATCGCTTAAGCCTTAACTAAAAAAGAGTACAAAATTATGTTACAGAGTGGAATCAAAATAAATTTACTTATTATTAACTGCAGAAAATAGTAATATTGAGAGAGTTATAAAATATTTCTGTGCGTGTAAATTTCTATATTCTATCTCTCTGCAACTTTCAATAATAAATTTATTAAATTAAAATTTTTTTTTGGGTATAAATTTGAATAAATATTTTATAAAATAGTCTACACTCTTTCTCTATACAACTTCTAGCAATAAGTTTAGTATATTTAAAGGAATTTTGTTGAGAAAAAGTTTAAATAAATTATATTTAATATAATCTTAGATTGCCTACACTATGGGATAAGAGTTTATTGTATAGATAGAAGACATACACATTACTTTAAATCGTACTAAAAAACGAAAAATTAATATTAAACGTTAATAACAGTAAGAAAAATCTTCAATGCTAATAAGTTTTGGGATTTTTTCAATATTCTGCGAAAAATTATAAAAAAGCAATTGGAAAAGATAGAGGAATACGTTTAGCGAATCAAAGACAGTTTTATATTTGCGCAACTTCTTTCTTTGACAGGAACTAATCCTTTGATCGATTTCCATCTTTTGCTATGACAAGAAAAGTAATTCTGCGACTAAATTTTAAATAATTAATACTATCTAGGTAGAAGAAAGATTAAAGTGTAAGCAATATGGCAATACCTAAGGGAAAAGAAAATCGTTAATTTTAATTTAACTACTAATCAACTGAAAGCACAAAGCACGGCATACTACAAAAAAAAATACCATAAGTCCCCGACTCTGTTACTGCTAAAAAAGTATTATGGATAAAAATCAAAGAAAAAAAACATAGTGGCTTTTAAGGATAACTTGATAAAGCAGACATTCTCGAAAAGCAAAAATGCAGCCAACTCTAAAAGGTCTACAGAGAGAAGGAAAATTATGGAACGTAGTAGCCCAAAACAAATACAATTACTTGGGATTTATAAAAATATTTATGAGAAATACCTCAAAAAGTGCTCTGTATACGGGTACATACATATGTACATACATACATACAAGGAAAGGAACTAATGTTTTCTCCGTTGTTTTTTTTTTGGAGAAAAAATAATAATCATCTAGTAAACTATGCACAGCATAAGTACCAAATTTATCAAATTTATTGTATGTATGCGCATTTACATACTTTTGTACAAACATACATACATATATTCATACATACGTGTACAATTTGAGAGCAGAGTTACCTTTTCGGTATCGGCATTTTTGCTATTTTTAACATCTTCGTTGTTATTTTGTGTTGTTACTTGTTGCTGTTGGTGTTGTTTTAATGGTGATTGTGCTTGTGTCGGTAAAACTAGTGAAGGTGCTTGTAATGTGGTTGCTTGTGGTGCTAGTATTTGTTGTTGTTCTTGCTGTTGTTGTTTTTCTTGTTGTTGTTGTTGTTGTTGTTGTTGTTGTTGTTGATTGTGTAATGCTGTTTGTTGTGCTTGGGTGGTGTTGATGGTGGTGGTGTTGTTTAGAGTAATTTGAGGCGGCAACGCATTATTTACGTCGACTTTGTCACTTTTTGTACTTAATAAACTTAATATTTCGATGCCATTGATTGCTTCGGTGGTAGTAGTAGTAGTTGTAGTAGTAGTAATTGATGTTGTTGTTGTTGTTGTTGTTGTTGTTGTGGTGGTGATTTTTGTGTCACCAATATTGCCATCACCATCGATTGACTGCAAAAACATACATGAAGAAACGAAAAGAAAAAAGGAAAAAAACGAATTGGACTCAAACGATTGCAGGTGATTGTGACGGTAGTGAGAGTGCTGCTGCTGCTGCTGGTGCGGCTTATATGAGTGAGTGAGTTTGTGATGATTGTTGGTTGGTTGGTTGGTTGGTGAGTAATGTTTTTGTGGCACACATTAATAGGTGAGTGGTACATAAATAAGTACATACTATACAATATGAGCATGTATTTAAATCATTTATGGGCTTGTGATTGAATTTATTTCAATATTTGATAGATGATTGAATGAGCGTGTTCAATCAAAGCCAGACTGAATGATGTTTATGTGCGTGGGGAAATGAAATTGATTTTGACAGCGGAAGCGACAGCTGACTAGTGCAAAGGTGCATAATTAAATTATATGTATAAAAGTAATAATTAAAAATAAAAAATAAAAATATGTGATATCATACAATAAAATACTCGTAGGTAGAATGAGAGATGAAGTGGTTTTTGTATTTGTGTTTATTTAAGCGTTACTAAGCATGCTGGTTGAAACAATAAAAAAATACTATATTGCAAGTTTCTGAGGTGCGTTTTCTCATATTTATTTCGCGTTGTGTTATTAAGTGTATGTATCTTAAACTACAAATCATTACTACAACAAACCGGTTGACGTAACTTACCTTGGCAGTAAGTTTTTTCTCGGCACGAAAACGATTGTTCATATTGCCCGTAGTCCCATAATTTGTACTGCCGCCTATTGATGGACTATCTGTGCCAGTACGTCCGACGCCGCCTAAACTATCATTTTCGCCAATCAAACTCGTTGAATATTTAGACGCCAACGATGATGCTGTTGTATTAGTATTTATGGTGGCGTTGGTGTCATCCTTGCTAAGTGCTGAGATAGTTGCGCCACTGGTCATTGCCAAAGCGGATACGGCAGTTGTTGGCAATGGTGTGGATGATGTCGAGGAATTATTAGCTGTGCCCGTGCTATTTGTTGTTGTTGAGGCATTCGTATCGATAAGTGGCCATTTATTGCGACTCTTCGCCTGTTTCTCAATGGAACTAACTGTTGAGTGTCGGGAAAATTTAAAAAAAATATATATATAAATATACAAATGCATGTGTGTAAAAAAGTTTCGTAACACTTACTATACGAATCTGGAAAATCTGCACCTTTCACGCGCAAACTTGCAATTTCATCATCAATTTGTTGATTCACCACCGACTCATTATCGATCACCAATAATATATTCTCCGGTTTAATATCCGTATGTATAATACTACATTTCGTATGTAAATAATCTAAACCCTCCAATACTTGTTTGATTATATTGCGCACTTGACTTATGGTCAAACCTTGATAGTTATTCTTAACAATCAATTTATATAAACTACAACCGAGCGCTTCGAAAACCAAACAATAATGTTTGCCATTAACGCCACGTATCGTAAAGTGATTGAGCAGTCGCACGATACGTTCACGTTTCACATCGAGTGGATCGGCATCACGTATTGCCTCCAGCAGACGTATCTCATCGGCAGCCGTCTCGATATAATGCTGTGCACTTTTCACCACCTTTAATGCTACGTATTTTTCATCTCTGTCATGGAATTTGCAAGAAAATTAATCTTAATGAGTATAATGTTTACTGCAGTAACTTACTTGAGATCCCTGCATAACCAAACGGTGGAAAAGTGTCCCCAACCAAGTTTGCGTACAACACGAAAACGATTGTCAAATATATCGCCTATAATTACCGGATGATAACCGCCACGACAATATTGCGCTGGATCTTCTTGCTCTTCATCCGAGCCGTATAGACTGCTATCCGGTGAATCGGGATAAATTTCCTCGGTAGTGCTCATAGTACCACGAGGCTCGGAACTGCAGAAAGGTAGTTGAAATGAAAGACGGTAAAGAGTTAATACATAATACGTCCTATGCATTGAGCTCGAATAGATAAAAGTGAATTTATTTTGCCAGGTAGTGCTTGAATACTGAAACGATGTAAAGCTAATCGCTACCAGGAAAAGTGATATATTAAATGGCCTTTGAGTAAAGCAAAAGCCCTTCCTTAGGATACGGGCAAGCTCTCTGAAGATAAACTCCAACAAAATTGTATTCTATACTTGTAAGGTCTTGGAAGCTCAGGTACTTTATTGAGAACATAACTGAGGCACGAGAGAACTACAAGGTCTGTTACCGGATCGAGACCACATGCATTAAGACGCAAAAAATTTTGCCCACCCAGTTAATATCTATCCGTGTCTGATATAAACGAGAGCAAGATCAAATATATTTTGCGATCAAAAATGTAGCCGCAGCAACGTGTGTACTCCGATATCACTGCTGATAGTCATAACTTTGAAGTCGTACACAGTTTCGCCTATCTAGAGATCCATCAGCATCAAAATCTCCAAAATCCAAAGGAGAAATGTGAATTATTTTATGTGCCTTCGATTACCAGCGGCTACGTAAACCGTGGATTATAGAAGGAGAGCTGTGATGTAGTACCCGTTGATGAAAGCAGAGAGGAGGAAAACCTTCCTCCGTTGAAGAAGATAAGTGTAGAAAGAACTGGGTTTACTTTATATCTCCAAATGGCGCCGAACTGTGAAAAGAAGAAACGGCTAACGCGCTACTTCTTTTGGGTTGCAAAATTTCTGTTAAGGCCTCTTGAATTCCTCAGAATAAGGCTTTCGAATCATCGACAAATATTTTTTCCCTACCAAATAAATGTCGCAAGAGACCAAATTAGGTCAGTTTAAGCAAAGAGCGAATTTCAAACGAAATCGATGAGACGGAATCTCACAATTAACCGGACCAGACAATTTACAGCCACAGTATTGTGGTCTCATGTAGAGAAATCGAGCCCATCAATTCTCATAAGGCTCCGGTTACGCGTTTTAAAGTAATTAAATTGGGTATTTCAATAATTGTTATATGTCCCCCGTCAGACTTGGAAGAAACCTTAAAACTCTAACGGTAACTCAGTATGATAAGTGAGGCAAAATTCAAGCACTATTCTCCAGCAGCAAAACATTTGTTTAAAGCAATCTCACAAATGCAAACACACACACACACATTAAAGATACAATTTCCGCTTCCGTTTCCGCATCCACTTCGATTTCATAGGCAGCACCACCCACAGCCAACGGTTCCATGCGTATGGGCAAAAAGTCATCTTCATCTTTATTCCCCAGCAGATAAACTGGACGCACCGGCGATGTATTGGGAGGTGTCAAGAGTTCCAACTGCTGCTGATGTATTAACTGCTGCTGCTTCAAATCCAACATCTCCTGGACTTTCTTATGTTTATGCTTCTTTTTCGTACGAATCGCAATCAATATCGGACCCGCCGAAACACATTTCCGTTTTTTGGTAATGCGTTTACGGCGACGCTTTTCCTCAATCTCAAGCATCCGCTGATTGGCGGCCTCCAGCGCAGCGCGCAACTCTGACGGTGAAACGAAATTGAAATCACACACCAAATCACGCGTCACAGCGGGTGTTATGCACGATCCCGGCGTTGTCGGTGTATCTATTGTGAAAGTAGCTTTACGAGCAACACCATCCACTTCCATAATTTCAATGCGTTCATCAGTAATGATGGTAGGTATGTGCATATTAGACGCCGTGTTCGCACCCGCCACTCCTGCAGTAGCAACCGTTGGAGTTGCAGGCGCTTTTGCTGATTTAATCCAATGCATGAGGAAGAGGAAGAGCAGTAGTAGGCAAAATTTGATCGCAAACATGAAAATCTGATCATTGACAAGTACAGTGGTCCATTGCTCTAGGCGCGTGCTAGACTCCTCGCAATATTGAAGTGTGATTTGATAGACATCTTGGCAGTGCTGTAGGTAGAGTAAGAGTGTGGGCCACAACTGGTGCATGAGGAGTGTATAATAATGTGCGCATAGTATATGCAGCTGCTTCCATCTCGGCGTGTCCGCGAGTTGGCAAATTTCTTGCGCGGCTGGTGTTACGAGTTGGTAGAACTCTTTTCTATCGCAGGCGTTGAACGTAGCTGCCGTGGGGCTGATAAAGGTGATCAGTTGTTGTTGTATATTTAAGGCAATTTTGTGCAGCGCTGTTATAACGTTATGCATTTTGTTGTTGTTTTTGGGTATAATTTTCCTCTTGTGCTGGTAAACAAATATTGTTCACTCTTAATATTTTAAAAGCTTTAATTAAACTTTTGATTTATAGTAAAGTTTCGTCTTTAAAATTTTCATGATTAAGCTTTTCGCATATTATTTTTATTATACTCGTTGATGTGCTCAGCGTTTCGGGATTCTTGGAAGAAGTGAATGATTTTTGCTCAACACTAAGGAATCCTCTGAACCAATTTTGTAAGAAGCGAAAGGCGCGGGAAAATATGAAAACGTCAAATATCGATATCTAAATAAGCAACGAAAGCTTCGAACATGTGGATGGTGTCGAAAGCTCAGACAAACACCCAGCAAAAACCTGCAAGAGCCAAGCTTGCCTGAGAACGCAGCGAAATTACTTAAAGATGAGCTATATACAGGAACTCCTATACACCTATGAGAGAAAAGCTGTGGAAGGACGTTGATGAACTTTTCGATGAACGTGAAGTTTGGTTCATTAGAGCCAACTTAAAACCGTAAAGCATCTCTTTTGTAAAAGGTGAATAAAGTGCAATAGCTTCCGCGGCAGTCGGGTATTATTCAAACCGGAAAGACCCAGATTTTTATCCGGCCAAGGACTGTTACTCCCGAAATATTTCACAAAAACCCATTTGGAGAAAATTTTTGCAATTATAACAACAAAAATAATATAGATAAATCATATAATGGTTTATCAGCAATCATGGTGGATCACATCTTCAAAAAGGGCTTGGAGAAGCTATAGATAAAGAGATATATATAGAGAGGGGGAGAGAGAGTGAGAGAAATGATATAATGAGCTTATCCCAACTTTAGACCTTCAAAGGCTTCAGCTCAGCTAGCATTATTAAGAATTTTCCAAATAAGCCATCGAATGCCGAAGACTATTAGCAAGAAAATGCAAGACTTGGTGGCAAGCCAATTAAATTATAGCCTGACGTCTGGAAGTACTTAGATGGCAGTCCACTTCTGTTATGGTTATGTGACTTCCGACAGCTTGACTAAAGCAGGAGATGCAAGAGGTTGAAGCTGGTCGACAAGGATAATGTTTGAAAATTCTACGACAAAAAAAATGGCGACTTACAGAAGGTTTCAATACCCTTGCAGACGAGTGAGGGACCCAGAGCAGTTATTTAGCATCTGCAGTTCAGAGGGAGGGAACACTTCTTTAGCCTGCTGAATATCAGTGAAAATGAACCCGATTCCGCAATCGAACAGATTCGCCGCTTGAAAAACAACAAAGCGGCGGAGGCCGACGGAAGGCCGAACTATTCATATATGGCGGCGAAGAAGAAATAAGGTATGTGGATCAGTTTTTTCACAGAATATGGTCGAACAAAAAACGCCTGACGATTGGTACCTAAAGGTGCTCTGCCCAATCAACAGAAATGGGACCGTCTCAGTTTGCACCAATTACCACATCTTATCGAGCATATTGTGTGAGATACAAGTCCATCGTCGACTGGTTGCACCTTATGAAAGAGGATCGATATTCACCACCGCTTCGTCAATTTTAAAGCCTTCTTCGACAGCACGAATAGGAGCTGCCTTTACGCCGCTATGTTATCCTCGCTATTCAGTATCCCGCAAAACTTATACTGCTATGTAAACTGACCTTAAACAACACTAAAAGCTCCATCAAGATCAGGTAGGACCCCTACGAGCCGTTCGGTATTAAACGAGATTTCAGACAGGGTCACTGTATCGGGAGATTTCATCAATTTGATGCTGGGAAAGATAATAAGTGCCGCAGTTAAAGAGACAAGGTCCAATCTTCTATAAGATTGTGCAGCTGCTAGCATATGCCGCGCTGTAAGTTCCGCTTTCTCCATACTGGTTAAGGGCTGGACAAAATTCTTCTGTCGGATTCAAGATACATCTTCGAAGCCGTAGATAACTTAGATGTTAGCTTAGAAATCAAACTCCGAATCGCTCTTGCTAATTGGTACTACTTCGGACTGAACAGCCAATTGAAAAGTGAAGTCCTCTCTGGACGAACCAAAACCAAACTCAACAAGTCGCTCATAAATGCTGTGCTGCTATATGAGACGATGACAACATCTGTGCGTTGAGAACAGCGAAAACCGCAACCGATGAGACTATGGATTGTACGAGATATAAGGGAAAAGAAGACAGCTCAGGTGGAGAAAGAATTGATTACACTTGATATTTCCAATTAGCGCTAAACAGCGAAAAGAAAAATGAAACTGTTGGAACGGGTTAAAGGAATAAATAAATCTTCCCATTATATTACCTCTTCACCTTGAAAAAAGAGCTTTTAAGTACTGATGGCTTATTCCATCATTGAAATCAAACTTTTTATTTGCTCTTTCGACCAAAATCCAAAACTATAGAAAGTTCATTTTTCTAATTTCGATCGCCCTCGGCAGGGACTTATTGCATGGTCGCGTTTGTGGTAACACAATCCGGCATCCTTCTTCTCTCCATTAATATATTTTCCATCGCTCTAGCTTTTTTGGTTCGCCTACTGTGTCGTGTTGAGTAAACGAGTGTTCGTGGTACTCGTCACGAAAATGGAAAAACGAAATCAAGAGCAACGCTTTGCGGTAAAATTTTGCACCAAATTGGGCGAAATAACTTCGGAAACGTATGCTAAAACTGTAAAAGTGCATGGCATGAAGAGTTTATGGAGGGCGTGAAAGCGTGGAACACAAAATGCGGAGCGGGTGATCAGAATAGGTGCGGATTGAATTTCTCCCACCTGGGCAAACCTTTATATACGGTCTACTATTGTCAAGTACTCGAAAAATTGCGAAAGCGAGTCAACAGGGTGCACCCAGACATCGCTCTTTACTGGATCCTTCATCACGACAACGCCCGGTGTCACACCGCCGTCAGCGTGTCCCAGTATTTGGCCTCTAAAGGGATCGTTGTGTTGCAACAACCGCCTTATTGGTCAAAGGAACCCATTTTGAATCGATTGAGGTCAACCAGGCTGCCGTTACGGGTACTCGCCGACATCCCAGTCGAAGCGTTCCAGAGATGTTACGAAGCATGGAAATCCGAAGCCGGAATCATTGTTTAGCTGCCCAAAGGCACTACTTTGAAGAGAATGGCAGAGTTGTAGAATAATATTATATTGAAATATATGGTTTTTATGGAATCAGTCTAATAACTTACTACGAGGTGTGACAGTATATCTGACATGAAATAAAAAGCTCATCATAAAATGCCATCAGCCGTACGGAGGCGGCTTAGTATAAGATTATAATAAGAAGACCTGTGACGACAAATACCGATTATATCATGGAATACATCGAGTTAGACCGGCATATGGCATCTCGTGACATCGCCCAGGAGATGGGAGTTAGTCACCAAACCATTTTGAACCATCTGCAGAAGGCTGGATACAAAAAAAGTTTGATGTTTGGGTGTCGCATAATTTGACGCAAAAAAAACCTTCTGGACCGAATCAACGCCTGCGATATGCTACGGAACGAACTCGACCCATTCTTGAAGCGGATGGTGACTGGCGACGAAAAATGGATCACATACGACAATATCAAGCGAAAACGGTCGTGGTCGAAGGCCGGTGAATCGTCCCAAGCAGTGGCCAAGCAAACAACTGGACCGCTTGAAGCAGGCCATCGACCAGAAGCGTCGAGAATTGGCCAACAGGAAGGGTGTGTTCCACCAGGACAACGCCAAACCACACACTTCGTTGATGACTCGTCAGAAGCTACGGGAGCTCGGAAGGGAGGTTTTATCCCATCCACAATATAGCGCGGACGTAGCGCCAAGTGATTACCACCTGTTCCTGTCCATGGCGAATGCCCTTGGTGGTGTGAAGTTGAACACAAAAGAGGCTTGTGAAAAGTGGCTGTCCGAATTCTTCACAAATAAGGAGGGGGGCCTTCTATGAGGAAGGTATTATGAAGTTGCCGTCTAGATGGAAACAGATCGTCGAACAAAACGGCGCATATTTTAACTAAATGCGATTACTGTAACACCTTTAATAAAGCATTGAGCAAAAAAGCGGAAGATATTTGACAACCTTATATTTATATGTTAATGTATATACTACTTGTATGTATATTTCTGACAACTAATTAAGCCTAAACAAGACACTGTGCGCTGTCACCCTTCCTTCTGTTTTTTTTTCTTCTTCTCAATTTGCCGGTTGCAAGGTGAAAATTGCATTTATCTTTACATTAATTCGTTGGTATGTGTTGATTAATGTTTATGCGTCGAGCACATGCTATACATATATATATATACGTATGTATTTTTGCAGTCTTTTCTCGCACTTCTTGGTGTAACGCTCGTTCAATTTTTTACAATTTCAATTTCTTTTCCGTATTTATTTTCCGCCACTTCTTTTGCCCTTTTTTCCCTCAACACGAGTGCGCACGTAGAATACACGAGAGTGCGATATTGAGTGCTGACATTGACACGAGTAACGACGCATTTTATTTATTTATTATTATTATTATTAATATGTTTATTGTTATTGTTGTGCACGCGCTGGATAGCCCAGAGTATAAAAAGCGAAAAACGGCTGCACTGAAGTTATTATTATTATAATTTGCTACACACGCGTGTTTATAAGTACATAAATAGTATTATATGTATAGTATATAAGTACATATATGTACATATAATTATTGCAATTGTTGTGAATTTTTTGTGTTGCTCATAAATAATATTCGTAATTACGAATTTATTTTTTAAAGGAGATTTTCTTTATTTATTTCTTTTTTTATTTTATTTATATATGTATATATTTTCTTGTTGTTAAAAAACCGTTAATTTAATTTTCAAATGGATACTTGTGCTATAAATTTTTGTTCGATTTTTATATTTCCATAAATATTAGTCGCTTTGATTGTCGTCGATTACTTTGGCGAGTCACTAGTATATCGCAACGAGTTTTCTACGCGTTCGTTAACTCATTTCACTTTTCTTTCTTTCGTTTTTACGCACAAAAAATATTCGAATTTTTCACCGTTATTTTTTCGCATGCACTTCTTTCAAACGACAGGAGTATCGTTTTTTTTTTTTATAGGTTTTTGAAACTTTTTTCGCATTCCGCTAGTATCCAAGAAGAAATTCTGCTTACATAACGCGCGACCATTCGAGCGCACATTGACCAACAACACTGATGTGTACGCGCGCACGACCAAGCACCGAAAATTATGAGAAGTGGTAGAGCTGTTTTTAATAAAATTTTAATATGTAGAATATTGCTAGGATGGTTTGTGTACAATATATGTTGTTGTTGTTGTTGTTGTTGTTGTTGTTTTTGTTTTCATACGTTCGCGTCTACTAAATTTTCACAATGTCGCGCGATATATTATTTGCCGTTTTTTATTTTGTTATTTTAGTCGCTAAATTTTATTATACATACTTAATTTTATTTTGTATTTTCTGTTATTTGTGTTTTTGTTTTTACTTTTTGTATTTTTTCGCACGTCATTTTCAACAGTTTTTCGTGATTTTCGCTAAAAATGCCGTCAGTTCTAGCCGCACAACGGCAACTGTTTGGCCAGCAGCAGTGTTAGCGCGTGAGAGCGGCGGCCACAACAGTGTATAAAAATATGTACATACAGACGAGTATGTGCATACATATACATATAATTTGTAACAACAACAAAATGTTGCATATACCACACAACGGGTTGTACAATATAAAAATAGTTGCCCCTCTGCTGCTCGCACATACATACATACATACATACATACGAGTATGTACATATGTATGTAGATACATATATGTCACAGAAAGTCACGAACAATATTGGCACAAAGCTTGAGGAGCAGAAATGCAGTCGCAGCGGCGTACACTTGTAAGTGAAAACAAAAACAGCTGCGCATTGCCATGAGTTTCACAAGAACAATCACACGTCACCTCGCCACCGCCACCACCACTGCCAGCAGCGCCCGCCCCACTGCGTCTCCAACTGAGTGTCCGTTGGCTATAGGCCGCGCGTCAGTATGGCTCACTAGTTGCCAGCGTTGGCAGTGTTTGGCCGTGCGTCGAGTCCGTTGGCAACGTCGTCATCGTTGTCATAGGCACCAATACCACCAACGCGTCTTTGTATAGTACATACGTACATACATACATATATACTTATTGTTTAGAGTCATTGTTGGCGTCATCAAGTCATTACAAACAAACACACATACCCAATAGTGCGCTGAGGGGTCGGTCCCAATGACAACATAATTCCACAACATAGTTGACATACTATGTACTATGTGCTATATATAAATAAATATATATGTAGGTAAAGGGTGTTTTTTAGAAGTGTGTTTCTCGATGTTAGCCATTTTGACAGCTTTTTGACAGACATAATCGCCCAGCAGAGTCGGTAATTAGAGCAACCATGAATCGGTTTCGCACCACGCTTACTCTAGTGGATAATGTACATCTTCAGTTATGACGTACACTACGCACCACAGGCGCTATTGTCGTTGTAGATTATGGAAGACAAAATGACCCGAATGGCTCCAGCGGACAATAAAGCTGCGCCCATTCACTTTATGCAAGTTTTTGGGGAAGGGTCTTGGTGTGCGGGCTTACAACTCACAAGTCGTGCTCGAATCGAGGTCAAACGATCAACAAGCGCATAGCAGATGCAGTGCATGGGTCCAAAACGAGCTGGCTACCAAGCCAATATTAACACCGGCGTTATATACCCAAAAATTCACTGTTTGCTGTGCTCTTTGGTCCGAGAGAAACATTGGTCCATACTTCTTCTATGCGATGCAGCAGGTCATAATGCTTCCGGCAATGGGCAGCGCTATAAAGCTATGCTAAATGACACTTTCGTGCCCGAGAATTGGAAAATTTTTAATGTGGACACCCTTTTGTACCAACAAGAAGTCGCTACATGCCATGCAGCTAACGAAACAATCAATTTATTGTAGGAAACTTTTGGGAGGCTGCGTTATCTCGAGCCGTGGGCCAGTGGGGTGACCTCAAAGTCATGTGATTTTTCTTTTTTTTTTTTTGTAAGGTGAAGTCGCTTGTCTATGTAGCTAAACCCGAGACACTTGACGTCTCGGTAGAGCGTATACGGCGTGTTATCGCCGTCATACGATTCCAAATGCTGCAAAAAGTTGTCGAAAATTGGGGCCTCTTAACTAGAATCTGTATTTGAGGCAGCTCCTTTGCTTGAAATCATTTTTAAAAATAATGTCAAACCCTTGGCCATAACCTTAAATTACAAACATGTATTAATTCTTGAAAATCACGTGTCCGAAAAGAACACTCTTTATGTATGTATGTACAAATGTATTTATGTTCGTAGTTGATTTTTAGTGCGGCGAAAATAGCATTGGCCCTTCGCGTAACCAATTCGTTTGGCGCCCTCTAGCGTTTGACTGACGTTTAAATGTTCACTTAGAGACGAGAATATGCATACATATTTACATATGTATATTATATATAGCACTATATATGTTATATATTTCTCCATATGTATGTAATGGATTTTTAACACTTTTATTAAGTGAAAAGTCCCTTGGCTATGCGCCAAACTTGAAAATTCACAACACACCTATTTACATATATACTCTCACATACATACATATGTATATACATTTTTCATAGTGGTGTTTATGTATATAAGTATATATGTTTTTCTATAATTTGCTGCTAAGCGTTTTCACTTGGCAATTATCTCACACTCATCATGCCTTTTATGTCGGCAATTCCACTAAATTTGTTGTGCGAATATTTTTGCAGCACAGTGTGACTTTCGTTAGTGACGCTCAAATTGTTATTGTCATGTGCATTGTTTTTGTTTTCATTTTACAGCAAATTCATTTCTATTATTTACATTGCCGCATTGTTGTTATTTTGGTGATTGGTTTTTTTTTTTTTTTTTTTTTTTTTTTGGCAGCATTTCAATTAACGCTCACGAATCGGCGCGCACACCTTCTTGCAAACTAGTTAGCTGTCACTTTTCTTTTTCTTTTTTGTTTTTGTTACTTTTCGCTTACTTTCGCTTCGTTTACTGCACCGTTTGATTAGATGTCAGTTTCCTGTCTGTCAAATGTGTGCGCTTGAAATTCAGCTGCACGAGCAAATGCGGAATTCGGTTTCTTTCGAGAGAATTTGTGCAGCTGGTAATATATAGAATTTAATTATGTATTTATTTTTTTTTTTTCTTGTATCGGAAGCAAAAATTGAGTTGCAAAGTGAACATTAAGATTTTTGCTTCGAAGTGATAGTGAAGTTGAAGTCAATTTACCTTGACTTTGCCGAGTGATAATCAAATACATGGCGAGCATTTTTACTTTTCACATGATGAACGGAACTCTGGTAGTTTGGAGCGCCATATTATTAGTTAGAGTAGACGAACTTACTAAGCAAGAGTCGCCTAAGCTAATTTCATCGGTATACAAGGGACTACAATTTTCAGACAAAGCTTTGCATATCGTTGTAGATGGTTGTAGAATGGACGGCAAAGTAAATGCTACAGTTGGGACGCTACTGCTGAATGGTCTATCGAACATAGCTGACGTCAAAGTCATGGATCTAGTGCGGTTCATTAGAGATTCAACGTGGAAGGTTGATAAAACCTGATGGCTTAAGACCCTTTGTGGTATCACATTGACTCTTAGTCAGGCCTAGGTGAATCCGACTTGATAAACTGGTAGCCACTGCAACCTAACCCTAAAGGCGACAGTTCACTGCGACCAGCTGAATATAAGAAGATCATTCTGCAGGCAGCTAATCAACACAAAAAAGAGATTAACTATTTATAAATGTAGAAAGGCAAGCGACCATTTTGGCCTTACTTTAATGTTGCACTAAATCAACAATGGTTTCACTATGTAAGGAACCGATCTAAATGCCATCGGTGAGATGAAACGTTTACATTTATTGGGTACAAGTGCATCATGTGGGCAACGAAAGCAATGTAATAGCTGTCAAGAGTTCAAAGAGATCAACTCGGTCATTTCTTACAGCAAATTAAAATATGGTTTGAAGGCGAAAACTATATGCATGATATATCACGCTAAGCTTACTATGCTCTCCTTGGAGACATAGACCGGTAATTCAGGGAAAGTGCTGTTTATTGAGCTGAAAAAGGAGAATATGTCAAAGATAATTCGAATCCTGAGCTTAGTAGCTGAAGGTGACTTTTGCGAAATGATGCAGACGCTGTAAAAAACTTGATGAAGAGAAGATGACTTTCCTCCTGCCATGGGAATATCCTGCTTTGCGCGGACTTAAACTTACTAATAGGACTGTTGATATGGATTTTATGGAGATTATTTGCCAGGTGGAAGGTGCTTAAGTCATGGACCTACTGAAGTTAATTTAGGAAATACCCAATGCAGCCAAGTCCATCTCCATTTTTCCAAGGAGGTCTTTCGCTTCCGCTACTTCCGCTGGTGGATCCATCTAGTACACTTTCAAAGCTGGAGTATTCTTATGCGTCCAGACCGTATGATCTGGCTCTCTCTTGATTCGCTACGCTATGTCAATATCGCCATGTACAGCTCATGGTATAAGCGTAGAGTACCATAAATTTTACGCGAAACCTTTCTCTTGAAGACTCCTGAGGCCGACTTGTGGAGTTTGGTTCAATCATATATA